TGGGCGACAGAGTGAGACTCCAACTCAAAAACAAAACAAAACAAAACAAAACAAAAACCCAGTCTTCTGATGTCCCTGTCAGAGAGAAGGCACTGACTGACTCCACCCATGGTGGCTTTTCTTATCACCTGGTCCACTTTGCTGCCTGCTCCCTGTCAGAATTGTGCAATGGACCATGAGCCACTAATGGAAAGATCGTTCCACAGAGGGTCAAGAAAGCTAGGTTCTGGTATGGGCTCTGCTGCTTAACAGCTGTGTTGCTGTGGGCAGGTCATTTTCAGTTCCAATGCCCTCAGAGGCCCAAATAAACAGTAAGGACTATGGAATCAAAAACAGTGGTATAGTCATCACCCCTTGGATCCAGGCTGTAAATGGGGAGAGTAAGGAAGAAGTCACCAGAAACTCCACATCATCCTTAATATCACACTGCCACTGGAAAGGCAGGGCAGGGCGTGCCCACCTCCTCATCCAGAGCTCAGGCTGCAGTGGCACCTGCACATGCTCAGGGACACCTGTGAGTTGTTCAGAGGGTGTTTAGTGAGCACCAATGGCTTTAGCAGGTGCAGGTGGGGGGTACTGAAGATCACCTGGGCATAGCCACTGTCCTTCATGGGCTGATGTTCTTGTAAGGCAGAGAGCTACTTACAGAAAGCATTCTGAGATAGAGAAGTGTTAGGTGCTGAAAGAGAGATTCTGCTAGTGCCATAGGACTTCAGAGGATAAGATTCCTTCCAGTTTGATGAAAAGAATGTTCATGAATGACTTGGCACTAGAGTTGGGATTCAACTGCGCTGAGCCAAAAGATTATAAAGAAAACAAAGTGGAAATACAATCTACAGAGAACAGTAAAAGTGTGCCCTCTTTGACGATTTTATTTTTCACTAGTAGCTGTGTCATTGGTTACGGCAGCCATTAAACATAATTTTTTTCCTCCAAAATTTTTCTCAGCTTCATGATTTACCAAAAAAACCCCAATTCATCATTTATAAACAACATTAATCTCCTTTTTCATTAAAATCCTCCCAAGTTTAGTCATTTCTCTTGAAGTATACCACAAGTTGCCATGTTTCTTATTTTTAGGAATTTAATCTTTTTTTTAACCTTTCTTTCTAACTCTGACTTATAGGACTTTTGATTTTAATCTTGCAGTGTTGAAACTTGTGAAAGTAAAGTGTTTAGAATCTGTGTTTTTAGCACTAACCTGCATTTTTTTTCCTAGTAAATGGAGAGCAAGAGAACCGAGTGCAGAAGGGAAATGGATATTTTCAAGTGCCGCCTCACACACCTGTGATCTTTGGTGAAGCTGGAGGTCGCACACTGTTCAGGTATGTCAGAGGCCCTGCCTGAGAAAGCATCCCATTTGCTCAGAAGCATTGACTCAAGCAGATGTTAGAAGCTGTTTATTATTAACTTTCAGGGATAAGATTTGGAAGCTTCTCATTTCCATAAGATGGTAAAATGTCCACATTCTTAGTAAGAGGAGAACCTCTAGTGCTAGAATAGAGTAGTAGATACTTTGCCTTGAAGCAGCTTCTCTGGTGCTTTTCTGCAGGAAACTCTCATGTTGTTTCACTTTGCCTGTGTGCTACGGTCAGGGAATACATGGCATCACCAGAAGTCCCTGCCCACAGGAGAGATGCCGAGTAGGCACCTTCCCCAGACTGGGCCAGCCAGGATGAGCTGGGCTGCCCCTGGGAACTGTTGTGGCTGACACTGACACTGCTTGGGGTGTCAGGCAGTCATTTGTGGAGCCTTGCAGGGAAAAGCTGAATTGGTTCACCTCCACATTGCCAGCATAGCCCTGGTAGAGCCAGTGGATAGAGCTAACTAGTCTTCTCTAGGGGCCAGAAGTAAGAAAAATGCTTGTCTTATCCTTGAGTGCAGGATGCTTTCTTTATAATAGCTTCCTGAGAGTGGTTACCAGAAACATCTGGCCCCCATTGCATGTGAGCTCCTGTGCCATGCACTGTAGCACTGGTTGGGGACCTTCTTAAGTGCTTTGCTTGTACTCAGGTTTCCTGTCATCACCCAAGGCAACTACAGTGTTTATACGTGGCCTTGAAATCGGGGACTAAGTTTTAGGACCTGCTTTCCCTTTTAGCTGAGTGAGTCATTTGCCAGGCAGTACTTTATTTCCTCAGCTGCCAAGTGGGAGTTGTCCTAAATGAAATCCATGAGGGCCTGTGACAGTGATTTTGTCATCTGTGTTTGTTGTGCCACTTACTACTTGATGGATTGCTTATGTTTAGGCTGCTCTGCCGAGATTCCGGGGGTGAGACTGAATCGATGCTTCTTAATGAGACAGTGCCACAATGGGTAATTGACATCACTGTGGATGTAAGTGGCCCCCACTCCCACTTTGCCCTTATATTTTTTTTAACTCATGAAATTAAGAACTGCTCTAGACAGTTCTTAAACCTAATTAACTGGGCTCCCAAGTGGAATCCTCATCCTGTTCCTTACAGTTCCAAAGTTGCAGAAGTAATATTGATAGTTGTTTCTCTATCTATCTTTGTTGGTTTTTAATTATAAAAATAATACATGCTTATTCAATAAAATGAATGAAAGGAAACTCATCTCTTCCCCAATTATTCATTTTTGCCCATTTACTCCCTGTCCTTCTTTCCAGAGATAACAATTATTAATAAGTTAATAATGCATAGCCTTCAGTACTTTTTTCTTTGCATACACAGGCATATATTATTGGTGTACCTTTATGTGTGTATGTTCATTTTATTTTGCACAAAGTGTCTTATACATACTGTTCTGCAACTTTTTTCACTTAAAAATGTGTCCTGCACATCTTTTCATGTCTATACGTGTGTGTATCTTTTTTAATGACTGAATAATATTCCACTGTATAAATGTCCCATAGCTTTTTTAAGCAGTCCCCCCTGTTAATGGACATTTGTTTTCAGTGTTTTCTGATACAAACAGTGCTGCAGTCCTTGTACATATATCTTTGTGTACTTTTTAGGATAAATTCCTAGAAGTGGAATTGCTGGATCAAAGGGTATGCACATCTCAAATTTTGATAGATTTTGCCAAATTGCCCTCCACTGAGGCTGTGTACCAGTTTATACTCTCACCCACAGTGTATGAGTGCCTGCTTCCCCATACCTGCATCCATGCTGGATATCTTTAATCTTTGCTAAAAGATAGACAAATATTATCTCATTGTCTTAATGTGAATTTTTAAAGTATTCATAGTGAGGTTAAGCATTTTTTTCATATTGGCCATTTGTATTTTTTTCTGTGAACTACTTGTTTGTGTTCTTTACCCGTTTTTCTATTGGGTCGTTTGTCTTATTGATTTATAGGAGTTCTTTATATTGAATATTAACCCTTTGACTATTATGTATGTCTCTCAGTTTAATTTTTACTTTGTTCATGGTGTCTTTTGCCAGGTGAAAGGTTTTAATTTTTAAATAATCAAATTGGTCTTTTATGGCTCTGAGTTTCATGTCTTATTTAGGTATTTTCTACTCCAGAGTAACCAGGATGTTCTGCATTCTTTTCTAGTACTTTGATGATATTTTTTGTCTAGATCTTTAATCTATTAGAATTTATTCTTCTGTTTGGTATGAGGTAGGATTCTAACTTTTTCCAAAGGGATAGGCAGTGTGCCATCACAATTTATTGAGTAATCTATCCTTTTTCTACTAATTTGAGATGCTATCTTTATTATGTACTAAATTTCTGTATACACATGGGTCTGTATCTAGACTCTCTTATGTACTGTTGACCTATTTTGTGTATTCCTTAGCCATATGGAAAGGAATTTAATCTCTAGAATGTTTAGAAACTTTATTTTCTGTCCCAGATATACCTCCAAGAACTTAAAGGCAGTGTGACACCTGATGGATATTCTGTGGTCTTCTCTGTGTCCAAGCTCCCCATAAACCACTAATTCCTTTGAGTGTGAAACTCAGCTGGGATGCATTGCTGACTTTAGCCCTGTGGCTTATTCCTGAGAGGAGACATCCAGACAAGATATGCCATGGAGGCTCGGAGGGTATTAATACCCTGAGAAAAGATGACCAGATAATTTTATCCTTTATCTAAGAATGTGGTTGACCTCATGGTAGACATCTAGGTTCTTGGCTGAAGTTTCCACTCTTTCTTAAAACCTCAGACCTCACTCTGATATCAGAGGGAAAGAAAATGGGAGGACCTGATTGGCCTTTTCAGTTGGATGACGGGCCTTACCAACGTAAAGTGTGTGGCTTTTCTCAAAGGTGAATGCTGTGGGTTTCTCTCCAGACTTAAGTTTTTATTTGGGCCTTTAGGTATTAGCCCCTGTATTTTAATGCAAAATTAAGATTTTTGGTTTGTATGGCTTAAAACATTAAAAGAAAATGTCTTTCTCTTTAATAGCTCATACTGTTATTTAAGAAGAGCCATGCTACGATTTCATATTGCTACTAATATTGCATTTAATTTGTCTTTTCATATATTTTATTACAAAACTATAGTTTTCTGATAAATTTTCTTGAGGGACGATTTAGATAATGTGATAGCTTATAAAGTTCATAGATGGTCACTTTTAATTGTAAAATAATTATTACTTGCAAATCATGTTTTTCATATTGACATTATTTATCAGCTAATAGAAACTATTATACCTTTTTAACTTTTAATATTTCAGAAAAATATGCCCAAATTCAACAAAATTCCTTTCTACCTCCAACCTCATGCATCTTCAGGAGCAAAAACCTTAAAAAAGTAAGTTAAATATAGTGTCATGTGGTTCCTTGATCTAATTAATTGCTAGAGAGAATTCTTTCCCCCTACGATTGCTTTTATAGTAATAAAGGCAGGCACTGGATTTATAGCTAATTTTATAGCACTGAAAGTTTATACAATTAAACCATTTACCAGGTACCAACAGTGATACACTGTAGGTAGTTAAAAGTAAGTAAGACATGGATTTTTGTCTTTTGCCATAATTTACAGTTTAGGACACAACCTGTATATAATACGGCTTTATTTTAATGGGTACCTAGGAAATAGTGAGAAGGGGGAAAGAAGTGAGTTTTCAGCTGGAGCTTTCTAGAAAAGCTTCTTAAAGGACATGGAATGTGAGCTAGATGTGTAAGGAGTTCTACTTAACTGCAAAAGATAGATATTCCAGGTCCAGGACACAGTCTGATGGGGGTTGTGGACATGGGCGCATGCATAAGACAGTGAGAAGTAGCGTGAGAACCCCCATGCAGCTGCAGCACAGCTGGATGGGCAGCAGGGGCACACTAGCAGTAAACTGAAAAGGCAGTTAGAGGTTTACGGATTGTGGATTTGGATGCTAACCAACAGACCATGCAGTAACTACACACCAGGCATTTTTGAGCCAGTATTGGGATGTGGCCCAGGGAGAGGCTCAAGGAAGGGAGACCCAAGAGAAAAATGTTAGTAGTCTGGGAATGGGATGTTGAACTTTGAAAAGATATATATTCTAGCAAGTACAATCAACATGCTTTTTTAAAAACTGTTTTTGTTACAGAGATTGCCAAAAGAGAGTAGGATAATGAGCCCCCATTGACTCATCAGACAACTTCAGTAATTACCACTACCTTGCTAAATGATTTGCTTCATCTACACCTTTACCTACCCTCCCTCCACACAAACACACACTGGATTATTTTAAAATAAGTTCTAGACATCACTCCAGTGAGATGTAATAACTGAAGTTCTAGAAGGCTTTCAGAGTTTAAGCCTTAGCTTCTTGGTTTGATGATTATTGACTGATGTCAAAAATACGAAAAAAGGTGTGGAGGTGAGGGCATTAATGAGTCTAGTTTGGGACATGTAGAGTTTGAGGTGCCAGCTATTAGGTTTATGGCATAAAGCAGAAAGTTGAGACTCTAGGTCTAGACTGGGGCATCGTCTGTCCACAAGTGCTAGTTGAAAGCATGGCCCTAGGGAAAAAAGCCCAGGAAAAACTGAGCACCAAGAGCATCAGACCCTGGTGAGCATTGGGGGCTGCTCTCCTTTCCAAGATTATTTACTTTGGTCACGTTCTGGGAAAGTATTGAAGAGAATAAAACTGAGAAGACTATACTGTATAAATATATGTAAGTTTTAAGAATATATATTAATCTCAGTTGCACAAAATTGGCATCTTAAGAGGACATTATAGAAAATCTCTTGGCAATTCTAAAAATAATTAAGGTAATGAGTAAAATCATGTATTGGTTTATGTTTCTGTGGTATGTTTTGGCTTTATATAAAGTATTAGCATCAAAGAAAAATAATATGGACGAGGCAATATCAAGTGATTTCCATTGCTTTTTACAGAGATAGACTCTCCGCTAGTGACATGCTCCAAGTCCGGAAAGTTATGGAACATGTTTATGAGAAAATTATCAACTTGGATAATGAGTCTCAAACCACTAGCTCTTCTAATAATGAAAAACCAGGAGAACAGGAAAAAGAAGAAGATATTGCTGTGTTGGCAGAGGAGAAAATTGAACTTTTGTGCCAGGACCAGGTAAGTGGACTTGAGGACCACAGCCATGCTTTTTCTAGTACTGGTGCTCATAAAGAGTTACATAATGTGGTGTGATTATATTTCCCAAATTTGTTGCTTTTGAGAGAATTTATGGTTTTAGGGAGGCTCTCAGGAGCCCTGGGTCTCCCTCATCTATCTGTGAAGCTCCTCTATAGGGACTCTTAAGTCCATCCTAAAGCTCTTCTTTACCTCTGGGGAAGTTTTCAGGAAAGGGACACATAGATTTTAAAACGCACATAGACAAATGTGGATATGCTGGTAGCTTTTTTTTCCTGACAAGAAAAAGACACACGATCTTTTTAACATGTGTCGTGTTAGCCTCAGATCTGGAGTAGAGGTGGGTGGAGAAATGGCAGAACTGTTTTAAATCAAGATGCATTTAAGATGTGTCATCAGAGGAATGGTTGAAAGATGGCCTAGTGTTTCTGGCATACTGTCAAAAGATACACGTGTCACTGTACCCAATCTCGTGCCTGCATGCATAGAGGTGTGACAGCAAGAACAAGCCGCCAGTAATGGGGCAGGGCTGAACAAGCTGGATCACTGATGAGCATCCCTGCATTAATGATCAAGGTTTTAGGTACTAAAGACTTCTAACTTCTTATTTTTGGCCATGCAGGTTTTGGATCCAAATATGGACCTTCGAACAGTGAAACACTTCATATGGAAGAGTGGTGGTGACCTCACCCTCCATTACCGTCAGAAGTCCACGTGAAGGGTGGGCTAATGCTCCTGGGTATTCATTTACTACCTTCCTCTAAGGCCCCAAGAGTAGTCCTAGGAAGCTCACTGAGCCCCAATGGGAGCAAGACTTCTAATGGCCGTTTGGTATGGACCGAGATTATCTTTCAGTTGAAGTGACTAATTGAAATGTAATATAGAACCAGTCTCCATGTGTAGATTAAGCTGTCCCCAGGGAAGAGCGTGAGAAAGCAGAAGAGCCCTGAGCAGACTATGTCTCGCGAGATGTACAGAGAACTGACAACAGGCCAGTGCAGACTTTGCTTCCTCCTTTTGTTTCAAAGGACCTTATCTTTGCTAGCACTTGTTAGAGACACATCGGTCGGACCACATCTGTCACTGTGTTTCGACTTCAAACCCACACTCTAGCTTTTCTAAGAGAGTACATTCCATTATGCAGTAGATAAGGCATTTTCCAAGTTGTCATTAAAAAAATCTAATTGTTTTCACCATTTAAGACAGTTATTTTTAATGGGAATTTGCTGTTGCACAATTTGAGAACCAGCCCATTTCATAAATAAATGATTAATATTGGGCTTGTTTTTGATACTGCATCTCAGATGTGTTCTTACAGGAAGATCTGTTGGAATTCTAGGTGCTGGATTACAGCGCTTGGACTGCTGGGCCAGAGTTTGCACAGCCCGTGCCTAGCGATGCTGCACCTTCCCATCATGCCCTGGCTGTGTGGCAGTCCAGGCAGTGAGCTGTTTCACTCCTTCGTCCACTGTGTCCAGTTCTATTTATGGGCAAGGCCAGCTGAGACCACAGGCTTTTGCTCTGAGTAAACAACATGACACCATCAAAACTTAAGACCATGATGGAATTTTAATTTCATTCAAATGTTACCTAAAATGTATGGTGTCAGAGTCAAGGGATATCATAGTGAGTTAATTTGATATTCATATCCTGGAAGTATACATATTTGTTTTTCCTAGTTTTATATGTAGGCTTTTGATGTACTTGTGTTCAGATCTTCTTTTCACTGTTCTAACAATCTCAAGCTTTCACAGAATCATGGATCTTGTACAGAATATAACTTATTGGGGATAAACACTTCAACTTTTGGCAGGAAATACTTTGGAGTCTCCCCAAGGTCATTTGTATTCAGAGTAGATCAGTGGTCCACCCCCATAAAAACTACATAAGACAAGCCTCCTGTACGAAGCCAGAAGCACAAGTGCCTTCAGAGGGCAGTTTATTCCAGTCCAGTTGCCTCCCCAGCTTGTGTGTGGCCTGTCCCCACAACAGCAGGGACTGGGGAGGGTGGTAGGGAAGGTTTTTTCTTTTCTACATCTTCACAGGTTTAGCTGGGGGCAACTGATGGGCCTAGGTCCACACCTTACTATTTGAGATACTCTGATCCGCACAACTGCAAACACAGGGTTCCCTCACTGCTAGTCAGCTTCCTTTGGAAAGTGGACAGGCCATTGCCTTCTGCACTTTGGAGAAGTGAGCAAAGACGTGGCCACATTTCCAGTAAGCTGAAATGGTCTTTCTCCCTTCCTCAGAGAGCAACCAGCTTCTTTTTTTTAAGAGTCCTTTCTATCTATCTGTTGGATACAACAGTGCGCTTTTGGTGCACATTTTTTAGCAATAGTTGTGAATGAATGGTAAAAACAACAAAACAAAACTCACTTGTCAGCCCTCAGTTGTGTTTGCACGAGGGGCCTTGAGCTGAAGAAAGGGTTTCACTGGGTCGTTTGCCCTGTGTGCTGAGCCTTGGGTGGCTGCACTCCCTTCCTGTCACAGATCTGCCGCCCAGCATGACTGTACTTTTTGCCCCCTCCAGTCAGTCAAACCAGTAATACCGTTTCCAGAAAATCTGACAGTCTGCAATGCCAAAAGGGTACAAATCTGTATTTCACGTTGTATAGAATAAAGGCTTTAGTTAAAATATTTCAAAGCGTAATACACGTTTATTTTTTCACTTGTCATTTTCCTTCATAGCAGATTAGAGAAAGAAAGAAACTTGGTTTCATGTTCTCTTTGGAAATATTAAAATCGTTGCCCATTTTATCCTCTAGTCTATGGGGGAGGGAAGAAAAAGTGAAGGGGAGAGCCAGAACTTTGGGACAACAGCAACTTGGGGTGAGACTGCCCAGCTACAGTTAAGGGAAGCTCGCCCCAGAACAAGTCTGTTCTCATTCCTGCATTCTTGACATTGGGCTCCCAGACAATCCAGGACACAATGCCTTACTGTTCTGCACTTATCAGCTGCTCTGGTAAGCTTGACAAGGGCTTGCTTGAGATGTAGTCAGTGCTTGGAACTCCATGTTTGCTGATTTGGGACCTTCTCTCCATATAGCTGGTCTATGGTGCCCAGAGCAGATAGTCCTTACCCTGCAGACTTGACAGCTTTTGAGTTTCCTGTATGTACAGTCATTATAAATCATGCAGTAAAGGTGAGACTTTCACCTGGTGGAAGCTAGAAGACAAGGCCAGAGGCAGCTTTCACAGTAATTAGCAAGGAGTATGGGAAGGTGAGAGTCCAGTCAGAGCAGCAGAGGACTTCAGGTGATGAGGGGACATCCTGGGTACGGCACCCTCCTCTGCAGAAACTGCACAGAGCAGAGGACCCAGCCTAGCCTTAGCCTCCAAAGGCACCTGGGTGGGGAAATCAGCTCCCTCCCATACTATAGGAAAGAACAGAAGGGTTTTCACCCACTCTTATCTAACCCCATACTTTTCCTCTTGGGGTGAGCGTGGTGTGTGAAGAGACCTAGTGAGGTGGACTAGCTTTGAGAGTTTGCCTAGGACGGTGAACTTAAATGTGCAACTTTTATTCGCTACTGGGGCTGGCTGGATGCCTTGTGTACTTGGAAGAGATGGTTGTTTTAGTTTGGGAGCTAGCTAACAGGAGTTGCCACTGGGGACACTAGGTCTGTGGTGGCATGTTGGGCCTGAGGAAGAAACACTGTGGTCCAGGCACAAATGGGTCTCTGCTGAAGGGCCTAGAATGTCCAAGCCCCTCCCTTCAGCGAGATGCACAAGTACACTGCCTCTCCCCTCCAACTGCAACTGGCACGGTGGCCGGCCTGATCCCACTGTGGCAGTGTAGCACAGGGGTGAGGGCACATGACAGGAGCAATTGGGACCGGCGCGTGGCCCCAGGGCTTGGGGGTCCCTTCCAGTATTCAGTGGACCAAGCTGTGCAGGAAGAGCCAAGGCAGGCCCTATAAAGCAATCAGGCCAATACCTGACACCAACCCCTTCTCACCCCACTTCACCTGGGTTATGACCAGACCCTGCTGCCGCCAGGGAAGCCTCAGAGACCAGAGCTGGCACAAGCACTAGACCAGAGGGTGCATGGCCAAAAAACACCCTTGCCCAAGGCCATGGCCTCTCACTACCCACCGAGGCTTCATGCCCCACCCAGGCTTCCTCTCCTAGCTCCCGCAAAATATTTAATCTGGGGGTGCTGTTCCCAGCCCTCTACCACCCCAAACCCTTTGAAACCCCAAAACCAGGACTACCAGGGAGGATAAATGTTGGGAAATCATCTCCTGGAGACCAGAAGCTGGGTCCAAGTGAGTGGACACAAAAGCCCCCTGCCAGCAGCAGGCACTGCACACACCTGGAGCTGCAGCCTAGGAAGCTGGACACATGGGGCTGGGGGCAGGCACAGGGCCAGGGGCAGGCAGGGCGCTGACTGCATAGCACAGTCTGGGCTGCCTGCCCACATCTGGGCTTCATGAAATGTCGCCAGGGGCCTTGTCACAGCCCAGGCGGTTCTAGGGCAGAGAGCTGAGCCTGGCTAGCCAGCCCCTCAGCCTCCACCCCGAAAACTGGGCTCTCTGTGCTTGCCGGCTCCTCCTCAGCCTGAGCTTCAAGCAGCTCAGCAGACAGCCCGTCTTCTGGTGAGGCTGCCGAGGTGAGGCTGTCGGGAAGAGTCAGCTGAGGCAGGTGGTCTGGCTGGGCTTGGACACCTGGGCTGTCCAGGAAGGAGACCTCAAACTCTGACCCCGACCATGTGGCCTCACCTGAAACACAGAAGGTGGAGCTGAGGAGGCCTGCAGAACCTAGGGCCAGCAACCCCACTGACTCCTGACTGTCACCCCAGCCTCTATGGGGGAGGGGAGATCTAGTGTACAAATGCCTTGATGTGGCTGTATCCAGCCTGCTGGCTTACTTGCAACCCGGCTGAGGAATGTAGGCAGCCTTCCCAACAACCTGGGGTCCTTCCCAGAGGACTTCAGAAGGTGCCGGCCACTCACCACCCCGCTCATGAGAACTGTTGCTAGAGCAAACGTCTTCCAACCCTGAGGTTGAGAGAGCTGTGGAGGTCGGCGCTGAAGAAGGAGGCAGGCTGGGCCACACGCTGGCATTGCTGCTGTCCAAGAGGGAAATGCCCGACACGTCCAGGAAACCTAGGGCAGTGGGGCACAGTTCTTTGCCAGCACAAAACCCTGACCACTGGAAGGTCAGTACCCTGGGCTCACCCTGCCCGTTCCTAGGGTTTGTGGCCCAGCCTGTGAGACTATAATCTTAGCCCCTTGTGATGCTCTCCACCCCCCGCCCATGCAGCCCCAAAGAGGTTCTCCACTGCCTGTTTCTGAGGAAAGCAAGGGGCCTGGGGCTGGCCATCAAAGGAGTGGCGCAGTAGCAGTGGGCCTAGACTCTGCTCTGTCTCCAATTAGCTGTGTGACCTGAAGGAGGCCACCTCTCTCCTCTGGACTACAGACTCCCCATTTGAACACTAGATGGGATGATCTGCATCTGGGTGTAGACCAGGGGAGGGGTGGGGGGGAGCCAGCCCCAGGGAAGTTTGGGCCTTGCTGCCAAAGTCCAGCCCTGAGCCTGCGGCCCAGTCCTCTCCAGGGCTGGCCGGTACCTGGGTCCATGACTCGCTGCACTGGAGGTGGAGGCTGAAGAGGAGTCTCTGTGGGATGTGGAAGTCCCCCAAGGTCTGGAGGGCTAAGGCTGGGACTCCCAGACCCAGGAAGTGGTCCTTCTAGGGAGGAGCCAGGTGCTTGCAGCAGGACCTGGGGGAGCCAGGAAAGAAAACAGGGACACAGTGCCTTGAAGGATTTTGCAGCCTGACCTAATAACCACCCTACCCTTACCCTAGGAGCACCGCTCGACCCTTAGCGATCACTCCTTCTGATATGGTGGTATAAAGTCAGGCCAGAGGGGTCTGGCTGGCCTCCCTGCAGTGTCAGCACCAAGAGGGAGCACTCCTCCCACTCTATTGAGGTGTCCAAGTCCCACCTGGCCCTAACACAGCCTCTTTGCGGCCTTGACCCCTATCAGTGACCCACGAGAAGGGAGGACCGAACCCTTCTGGAATTCAGGCAGGCCTGGAATGGAGAGCATACTTGAATACTCCCTGCACCACTCCCAGGCACCAGCCCAGTGCCCAAAGTTACTCTCAGGAGACCCACTCGTCAGCCATGAAGGAAGGGCCAGCATTTCCCTGCAGACTTGGCCAGACAACCATCCCAACTGTGATTCTGGAGACCCAGGCCCTGGCCCAGCTTTACCACAGACTCAATGAGGCACTGAACAGGCCCATCAGTGAGCCTCAGTTTCCCACTCAGGAAGAGGACAACTAGGGCCTCACCTCTAGACCCAAGAGGCAGGAGAGCCAAAAGTGGGTTTTACTATCCCAGGCAGGGCAAATCTGCTCCCACTGGGTCTCAGAAGCAGATGGGTCTCCCAGATACAAGGGCCCCCCAGACAGGCCTCTGGTGAAAGCTGCTGATGGCTCCCCAGGACAGCCTCTAAAACGGTCTCCCTTTCCAGCTGGCAGGTCTCTCCTCCCCCGACTGGCAGATGCTCCCACATACCTCTGTGTAGTTGCTCTGCCCGGAACCTATCTCCAGGTCATGTGAGTCCTGGGGTGTAGGCCCAGGTGCCAGAGCATCATGCAGTAGGGCATCAGATGGCGGGGTGCCAGGTAGTGGGGCATCACGTGGTGGGGCACCAGGTGGCGGGGTGCCAGGCGGTGGAGCACCAGGTGGTGGAGTACCAGGTGGCTTCCTGTGGTGGCTGGGGGCCTGAGTTGGGATCCGATGTAGATACCCATAGCCGATGCCACACCCCAGGCTACCGAAAGCCAGAAACTCAGTCCAGGAGGTTGCCCCACAGCCCTCCCTACCTTACCGCCCCACCCACAATTCGCAATAAGAAGGCTGGACAGGGCACTTCTGGAGCACTGGTCAGCCTCAGGTGTCCAGGGCCCTGCCCTCCTCCGCTCCCCCGTGGGACTCAGGTCCATGCTCACCGGTCAGGCCCCACCCACCTGGCCCTCCAATGCCAGGAAGTACCTGCCCTCTCCACCCCAGGCTGCATTGGGAGTCACAGTCACCTCCCGGCAGGAGTCAGACTCAGAGTTATAAACCATCAGCTTCAAGGGCTTCCCCTCATGGGACTCGATGAGCGTGAAGAAATCCTCAGACTGTGAGAAACACACGGTGCCTGAGGCCTGCGCTCGACTGGAAGCCTCAGCGAAACCACATGCCTCCCATGGATGGCACCCATCTCTGCACACCCCATCGAGGGCCTGGGAAGGGGCAGGCCATGGGCTCCTCACCTCCTGAAGGATCTGGTCAGAGCCAACCACGTAGTCTGTGTAGGGGCGCAGGCCAGCAAGGGCGGCAGGGGAAGACGGTTCCACATCCTAGGGAAAGAATCACAAACAAGCAGCCTCAAGGCCACCAAAGAGGCCGCAGGGAGAAGGGGCAGGGGGCGCTGCCTCTCCAGGTACTGGTTCAGATACCTGTCCTCAGTCCCCAAGCAGGGCTTTCAGCCTAGACTCCCTCTCCTTGCCGCCCAGATCCCCCACATCCCCCAGGTCTGCGCCTGCCCAGCAGAGGGCAGCACCATGGCATGGCACGGCTCGCACTGGGCTCCAGACTCCGACCTGCACTCCACCCACTCCCGGCTCCACCAGCCGCTAGCCGTGTGACTCAACACATGACTGAACCACTCAGCCTCGTTTTCCCCACAATCAGAAGTAGGATGCACAGTTCCTACTCACAGCATTGCTAAGATTAAACACATGTAAAGAAAGAAAGCCACAGCCCGGCCATAGTAAGTCCCAACTGTGCTGCTGCCACTGCAGCAGGCATGTGGCCAAAGGCCCCTAGGGTTGGAGGCGAGGGCAGTGAGAAAAGCTGGGCACAGACAAGGACCGATTTCTCCCTTGGAAACCCCCGCCACTCCCAATCTCCCAGGCTCCCTGGGAAATGCACAGGAATTTGTATCATCAGCCCCATTTCGCTCATGGGCAAACCCAGGCAGGCTGCAAAAGTTGAGAAACTTGGCCAGCTCCTGCAAGAAGCCAGTGGGCAATGGAGGAGGCTAGACACCAAATCGGCCGACTTCCAGCTCAGGGTACCTGCCTTCCACCAAGCCATAGGACTGAGTGTTTGAGAACATGGACACCATGAATGAGCTCAGGCATGAGGTGTGCGCATGACACTATCATCTATGACAGCTCAGTCACCGAGGGTCATTAAGATATGGATTAGTCATATAACAATACACCAGAAAACCACTATATACAGTCTTGTTGCTTAATGGCAGGGATACGCTCTGAGAAATGCATCATTAGGCAATGTCACGGTTGTGCAAACACCACAGAGTGTACTTACACAAGCCTGATGGTATCGCCTAACTGCACACTAGGCTGTGTGGTGTGGCCTATTGCTCCTGGGCTACACACCAGCACAGCACGTTACTGCACTGAACACTGTAGGCAATCAAAACACAACGGTATCTGTGTATCTAAACAGAGAAAAGGTCGATAGAACAGTGGTGTTATGCTGGGCATGGTGGTTAATGCCTGTCATCCCAGCACTTTGGGAGTGGAGGCGAGAGGACTGCCTGAGCCCAAGGATTCAAGACCGGCATGGGCAACCTGGCAAGACCTTGTCTCTATAATAAATTAAAAAATTAGCTAGGTGTTGTGGCACATGCCTGTAGTTTCAGCTACTCGGAAGGCTGAGGCGGAATGATTGACTGAGTCCAGAAGTTCGAGGCTGCAGTGGCCCTGAGTGTGCCACTGTATTCCAGCCTGGGCGAAAGTAAAACTCTGACTCAAAAAAAAGGGGGGAGGTGGGGCTGGGCTCGGTGGCTCAGCCTGTAATCCCAGCACTTTGGGAGGCTGAGGCGAGTGGATTGCCTGAGCCCACGGGTTCGAGACCAACCCGGGCAACCTGGTGAGACCTCGTCTCTACAACAGATTAAAAAATTAGCCAGGCACAGTAGCACGCACCTATAGTGCTACTTGGAAGGCTGAGGCAGAAGGATCACCAGAGCCCAGCAGGTCCATGCTGGAGTGACCGTGAGTGTGCCACGGCTCTCCAGCCTGGGTGATGGAGACTCAACTCAAAAAAAAAAGAAAGAAAGAAAGATGGTGTTATAATCTTATGGGACCACCACGGTATATGTGGTCTGTTACTGACCAAAACGTTGTTACGCAAGGCGTAACTGTGGGTGTATATACATGCACACATATATAGTGTGTGTGTTTATACATGAACATACAGAGAGGCAGGGACACAGACAGACTAATAAAAGCAACATCATTCCAGCAATATAACCATCATTCCAGTACACAGTATTCCTACTTTTCCAATCAATAACCTAGGTACAGAAGGTAAGAAAGTGCCTGAAGTCACATGGCTAACAAGAAGCAGGTACACTGTCCAGGGGTTAATGAGCTGCCCTCTCTGGGACACTGCCATGAGACTAGGTCTGGCCCTCAGAGTCCTCTGTGACCACCCCACTTGGGGCTCAGGCCCCACCTATCTCCTGCACATGCTGCCCCTACATGCTGTCCACACCCAGACCTGCCCAGTACACCACAAGCCTTCTACGCACCCCTCCCACCCTGCCCCACACTCACCAGCACGTGCCACACGTGCTCGCTGGCCCTGCGGAAGCTGCAGAAGCGCACGCTGGCACCCAGCAGGCCCTGGCCGCCCCACATGTTGCTGGGTACCACCTCCACCTCGCGCACCTTCATGGTCTTCATGTTGAACACCTCCAGCTTCACAGGCTTCTCCACGTTGGCCTTCAGCAGCGCCTTCAGCGTGTCGTTCTCCTTGTTCTGCAGGGGCAGCGGGGCTAACTCCAGGCTCCTCCCATGCCTGGGCTGGAGCCCTCAGACAAGTCTGGGCCTGAGACGGGGCAAGGGTCTTGGTGGCCAGCAGCCCCAGCAGGGCCTGGTGGGGCGACGGGACGGGGCAGTGGCTGGGCCCAGGTTCACAGACCAGGCCTGGGCCTACAGTGTGCAACCCCCACCTTCCACCAGGCCCAAGCTCTGCCAAACCTCCCTCCACCTGCCAGAAAACACGGCAAAGCAAGCAAAAAGCCTCCTGGCTCCAGAGCACTCCAGGGCTGCCCGACTCCAAGCTGCCTCTTGGCCACAGCCCCCATGCCCCTCATGCCCCAGGAAGCAGGCCTGTTAGGCCTTGGGGCCACCTCCAAGGGTCCATCTGCCCCCACTCCACTCCAGAGAGCTGAGCTCAGGAGCTGAGAGCTGGGAAGGGGCCCGATCAGGCTGTGAGTACAGTCAGGCCCTGGAAGGAAAGGCTTGGCTGGGCTTTCCCCTAGAAAGGGGAGGCAGGGGCAGACTGGGGTCCCCTGCAGGACAGTCACACAGTCTGACTTCCGTGCCCATGCAGACACCTCCTCCAGGAAGCATGTGTAGGGGACACACACACACAAAGCAGAGGCAGGGAGGGGGGGGCCTTACCAGCCGTGAATGTCCAATGGTGATGATGAAGTCAAAGTAGGGCTCCAGGCCCGCCTGCTGGGCCGGGGAATTCTCCTGCACCTGTCCCACAAGAGAGGCCACCGTCACTGGGCCACCAGCAGGACTCCCCAGGAAGCCCTCGCCCTCAGTTTCAGACCCCCTCAGCACTCTCAGTGTCCCGGCAAGGACACAGGCCTGGCATGAAACGCTCTGGGCATTGTCATTCCATCCCTTCTTGCCCCCTTTCTGGGTGCAGATTTTCCTCTCAGGAAAATGGCTCTTTCCTGATTGCTCATGATCCACCGGACTTTCAGAGATGCCTCACAGCCCAGGGCAGCCTTGGCAGCTAGCAGGAGACAGCATGGAGACAAGCTGGCCCAGGCCTGTGGGAATGCTGTCCCAGAGGGCTGGGCTGGGGCTGGCTAGAAAGCCAAAAGGGGTTACACCAGGAAGGTTTAGACTGGACAAGAAGGATGGGCCCTGACGTGCAATGGAAGCAGGCAGGCCCCAGGAAGTATGCAACCAGGGCTGTGCCCAGAAAGGAGGAGTGGGAAAAGCAGTTTGTGGCCAGCTCTCAGGGGACCCCAGACCCTAGCTGGCGGACTCAGGCTCAGTCCAGTGCCTAGAGCCACTGAGACATGCTAGCAGAGGATGCTGGCACAAATCCCAGGGGAAGGACTGGGTCTGAGCCCGGGAGTCTGGTGAGTTGGGTAGCCTAGCTCTGGACTGAGGAGCTTCTCAGTGGCTCGACTACCCCACAGCCTCACAGTCTAGCCTCCAGGCCCATGCAGACACCTCTTTCAGGAAGCATTCCTAGCCCCTCCCTGCTACCCAGCTCACTGCTTTATCCAAAGCCCAACAACCAGGGCTTGCAGGCTATGGCAGGAACCCATCTCAAAGGCTTCATTTACAGAGTCCTACTCAAACAATGCGGCCTCTGTCGCAAGGTCCTGGCCCCTGTCAATGGGCCCACATCCCCAGGCCTTTGGCTGTGGGCGCTTGATGACCTGTTGGTGCAGACATCAGCCAGGGCCTAGTGGAACAGGCACAGGGACCAGGTACTTGTCACCTCCTAGTGGAGAGGCCCTGTGGCTCCTGCTACCTACCAGCCCCTCCAGTCCTAGATTCCTCAGGCTGAATGAAGGAAAGCTCACGGAGAGCCGCTGAGGACAAACTGCTGAGCTTTCAGACCAAGGTCAGTTTGCCCCTGGAATTAGGACTCCTTTCTGGCAGCATCACCAGTCAATCCTTGCTTCCCACCTCCAGAAGCTGCCATGGCTCCCCACAGGAGTGAGCCCAGCAGTCAGCTCTGGCCTAGTCGGGCTGGCCCAGAGAGCAAGCTGCTCCCAGGTCTAGCTGCAAGGGAGCTCGGTGCCCTGTCCTCTATTCTTTCAGGGTCTTTTGAAAACCACAGGACAGTCAATCAGGAATAATTCAGGGCCACTTCCAAGCTGTGCCCCCTCCCTCCTGGTGGCTGCCTGCTCTCATTTCAGGGTTGTGTGTAAGCGGCCCTCCACCATTAAATGAGCTCCAGAGATTCAGTCCCCAGCCCCCAGGCTTGGCCTCCTCCAGCCCACCCAGTACCTCCTCTCCCCACCCTCTCCCTGTGGCCTCTTCCTCTGTCTAGCCACATCTACTTCCCTATCCCTGGGTGCTACTCACTATCCCACCGCTAAAATAATCTGTGTAGCTGCCCACTGCACCCCCAGCTGCAAAAACTACCACTCCTCCAACCAGTTCCCATCAATGTGGGCTGCTTTTCACAACAATCCCACCCTGTTTCCCCCATTGGGGATCCTAATGGAATCCACAATGATAACAGCTTACATTTACTAAGGGCTGGTTTGCTGGGTGCCAGGGCATGGCACTACCTCCCCTGCTTTATCTATTATTCAACCCTTTTCCTGACCTCAAATTACAGGTGAGAAGTACTCAGTAATTCAGTAATCTGATCCCAGGAAATCCAGCCCAGAGCCCTCCTCCCAATCAAGGACCTCTTTCCCGGTAAATTCTTCACTACTCCAAGCTCTGGGAGGGCAGAGACTTCTCCAAAGTGCCTGGCACATAGAAGGAACACCAGTATTTCTAGAATGCAGCATATTTGTTCTTCAATTTTTATTTTTTTGAGTGCGGTCACACTCTGTCTTCCAGACTGGCGTTCAGTGGCATGATCACAGCTCACCGCAGCTTCTAACTCCTGGGCTTCAGCTACTTTCCTGCCTTGGCCTCCTGAGTAGCTCAGACTACAGGCACACACCACCATGCCCAGTTAATGTTTTTACTTTTTGTAGAGACAAGGTCTCGCTATGCTGCTTAGTTTAGTCTCAAACTCCTAATCTCAAGCAATCCTCCCACCTCGGCCTTCCAAAGTGCCGGGATTACAGGTGTGAGCCACTGTGCCAGCCTCAATTTTTAAAAGTTGTAAGTAGGTCATATCACTCCTCCACTTAAAATCTCCAGATGGCTCCACATCTCAGAATAAAATCCTAAATCATTAGGACAGCATGCAAGGTCATATGCAGTCTGGTCTGGCCTCTTCCTCTACCATCTCCTCCTCCTGTCAGCTTCACCACCCAAACACACCAGCCTCATCTCCTTGCATTTCCTCAAACACACAAGCGCACCCCATCTGAGGCCCTCTGCCCTTGCTAGTCCTTCTGCCTGGAAGACCATTCCCCTAAATATTTGTATCGTCCACTTTTTGCTTCCTTCCAAGGCGGTCTGTTGAAATGCTACTTAAGCAGAGGCCTTTCCTGACCATGCTATCCAAAATAACACCCAGTTACCACTCTTTGTCCCTGTAACCTGCTTTTTCTCACCAGCAATTATTACCACCCACTGCATATTTCTTTGTGGTCTCCCTTCTCTCCTTACCCCATCCAAATGTGAACCCAGGAGAACAGGGAGCATGTCTGTTCTCTTCAGTGCTTTTTCTCTGATGCCTAGTACTTTGCCTGCCAGAGCACGCGCTCAGGAACATCTGTTTTTGTGAATCACAACCTCTGATCCCTTGACCTCTCCAAGCTGTCCGGCTCCATCAGGCCCCTCCCCTGTCTTCACTCCCACCATCACCCCTCCTCTTGCCAATATCCCTAAGTCCTTGGAGGACTCTCCTGGCTGGATGCATTTTCTGCCTGGTGCTTCACCATGAGAAAGCCCATTACCAAGCACAAATCCTGTCAACTCTGAATCCTCAAGGCCAGCCTGGTTTTCCTGTTTGGAAATACCTCCTTTGCCCTTCTGTGTGGTAACTGATAACAGACCACCCCTTCAAAACACAGCGACCACTCAACAGCCAGGCACCAAAACCGTCAGACTTGCCAGTTTACACCTATCTCTGCATCCAGCTGCTTTTCACTAGGGAAAAGGGGTGCACCTCTTTCCCGCTGGACTCTGGGGTCAGGGATTCTCCCTTCCCCGCCCCCTTCACTTTCATTACAGCCCCTCCCTCTCCACAGATACCAATTTCAACCTCAAATCTCCATCTGGCCGCAGGTCTTTCTCCTCACTCCGTTTTCACTTTCCCAATGCCTGCTCCTCCGGACCTCCTTATAGTCGCACCCGAAGACCATCCTCAGCCCCCGCCTGGCCGGCCCTCTCCGCAGTGCTTCACCCTGGGGACCTCCCCAGCCGCAAACGCTCTCCCGAGGCTTCTGCGGCGCTCTCCAAGCCACACTGTCCTCACTTTCCCTGGCAGTTTCGCACTGGTCCTCGATTCTGAAGCCCCTCCCACCCCACGACGGGTGGGACCGCGCCCACGGGCTCCCCCGCAGCTGACGTCCCCTTGCTTATCCCGACCCCGTGGACTGTAAGACCCGAGGCGGGAACCCCAGGCCCAGCACGGGGCACGGCGCACAGCGGGCGAGCATAGACGTGCGATAGGTGCGAGAGCGCGTCCCGTGTGGAGCTGGCGCATCTTCCATCCGGGAAGGGCGCCGTTCCGGGCGGCCACCAGGAAACGCTCCCGCCTTCCGCACCGCGGTCACTTGGCGCGAGGCCCGACTGCAGTCTCAGGCTGGCCGGGGCCGGGAGTCCCGCTAGGCTGCCCCTCCCAGTCGGCTTTCACCGGGTAGGGGTGCACTGTCGCCACCAGGGCTTGGAAACGCTGGGCCGCGACCCCGTGCAGTCGCCAGCCGGCCGGCGGCTCAGAGGTATAGGCGAGTCGCTTGCGGTCGTCCAGCCAAGGTCACCGGCGCCGCCGGGGCTCCTCCCCCCGTGCAGGTGGAAGCCCTCGGCGCCGCCCGTGGGCTTCTCGACGCTGGCACCCAACCCCATGGCTGCAGCCTCGCTGGACACCCGCGTACAGGACAGCTTCGCTGACCAGGCGGGCCAACCCCCGTGCCACTAGCCTGGGCTAGCTCTATCGGTGCTCGATTACCTGCGCCTGGTCACGTGGGAGGACTGCCCCGCCCTCTCCAGACGCGGAGGCTCTTAGCAACCGACCCGCCACACCGTTTCCAAGGACGCTCGAGCCTCCAGCTTCCGGCCTCGAGAGGCGTGCCCTGGTCCCTGGCTCAGGACCCGGCCCCGCGCCGCCCCTCCAGACTCGGACTCGAGGCTCCAAGCGGCCCGAGATGAACGACGAGGGCTCCTTCCTTATGGTTCGTGGCCCGGGTCGGGACACTCCGCCCCTGGCCGAGTGACCCCGCACCCTTCTACTCTCCTGCCACCCCTCTGCCCGTCCTTCGCTGATCCCAGCTGCCTCAGGAAATCCTGTCCTTTCTTGCCTCACACTCCCTGGCAAGTGCATCGTCTCCGCTGCCCTCTGTGCATCCTGAACCCCAAATTAGTATTCCCTCCAGTCCTGTCCTCTGAGTTCCCCCAAACCAACGCAGCCCATCTGCATCATCTTGTCAACATGCCTTCTTTTTCCACCCACCCTACTCCTGCCGGCTCCTCTTCCTCCTACCCCATCTCAGTTGATGGCACCATTATTTGTTCTCCCAGCATAACTCATACCTCTTCCCCATACCCATCTTCCATTCCTACCAACAAGAAGTGTCAGCTCATAAATATCTCCTGGGTTCACCCACTTCTTTTTGTCCCCTAGCCCAGGACCTCTGCCACCTCTTACCTGGGCAATTGCCTTTCTCCCATCTGGTTCCTCTGGTTGGCTGTCTTCTGCAGCCCCTACCCTGCCACCAGCATCACACACCACAGCAGCCTGGGCAGTTTTTGCAAAAACATATCATCGAAATACGACCCTCTCCTTAAAACCATTCCAACTGCTTTCTGTTACCTTTAGGATGGTGTCTGAGCCCTTTTATGTGGCCCACAAGGCTGTTTACAGTCCAGCCACATCTGTCCCCAACCTGGCACCCACAAACCTTAGGGGAAATGAGCCTTAGCTTTAAAATCTCAGCCCCTATTGCAGCATGACCTTTGTCAAGCCATAGTCTCCACGGGCTTAAGCTTCCTTAATTTTGAAAGATACAGAGAGGATCATGCATAAGATAATTAATATAAAGCCCTTGATGAGGGTTCTCAACAATTGGTTAGCCCACAATAACTTGTAACTACAGTTGTTATAATTTTTATTTTACTGGTCCTCACTTTTTCCTCTTATTCCCTTCCTAAGATAAAGTCTGAGTTGAATTCCCCCATCATATTTGGATGTGTTGGTAATCCCCTAAAAAACACCTCCAAACTCCTTTCTGGGGAAACTGCAATGGAGCTGTTCCCAAGACTGCTAAGGGACAGGGTGGGGCCTGAGAGTTCCCTCTTTCTCTTCCCTTTGCAGAAGTGAGGAGCAGGGTATGGGGAAGGGAGCGAGTCTCCTCTCACCTGGGGCAAAACAGAGAAAAGGGACTGGGCTGTTGCAACTGTATCTTCCTCCATGCAGGCTGAGATCATTTACTATAGCCAGGAAAAGTACTTCCACCATATGCAGCAGGCTGCAGCTGTGGGCCTGAGGAAATTCAGCAATGACCCTGTGTTGCAGTTCTTTAAAGCCTATGGAGTCCTCATGGAAGGTAAGGACCTAGCAGTTTTGGTCTTCTGACCCCAGGTACCAGCCCGCCCTAACACTCTGGCTCCATCTACCTGGTTGCCTACTTACAGCCTAGTGATGTTCCCCCAGAAACAGCCCTACATTCAGTGACTGGATTCCCAGGTTAATCCACAAAAGCTGATGTAATCCACATCTAGTTGACTTTAGAGACCTCAGAGTGCTCACTATCCCTTCTCTGCACCTCAGTTCCCTAACTGTAAAGTGAATGTTTGGAGAGATGGCTGCATGACTCTTGAGCTAACTCCAGGCTCAGAAGCTGAGTGCAGGTAGTGCAGGAAAAGGAGGAGGAAGGGGTAGGTGTGGGTACAAGCAGGTATGGTCCAGGTGCAGGGAGAGGAGTGGGGCCATGCAGGTACTGACTGACTGACATTCAGGAGATGGTCCTGGTCTGAGGGCTGGCTGAGCAGCCATGGCTGGTGACAGGGGACATGGAGGGATAAATGTAATTGGGACTCTTGAGCACTGTCTCTGGAGCCCTGCCTGAGGTGCTTTTTCAGGACTGACCCAGCCTACTGTCCCAGACTCACAGGTATCCCCACAAGTGCTCACAGGTACACCTCCCAGCTCTAAAACATCCAGCCCCTGGACCATGGTGCCAGCAACTTTTTCAGGAGACTCAGTCTTCAGATAACTCAGGCCACTAGGGACCTTTCAGACCAGCTAGTCCTCTGATTCTGGGTGGAGCCAGGTGGTGCCAAGCCATAGGACAGCCCTGAGAGGGCTCCCATATATCTGCTAGAGACTCCTGGCCTCTAGGCTGGAACCTGAGCCAAGTATGAGCACATGAACTCTCATTGCAGAGCGCACCCAGGATGCCATCAGTGACCTGGAGAGCATCCGATGTCACCCAGACGTGTCCTTGTGCTCCACCATAGCCCTCATTTTGGCTCACAAATCTTGTGAAGTCATCGGTGAGTGTCACCATGCTCAGCCAAGCCTGCCCCAGCAAGGGAAAGAGAGCCTCACTCCAGAGATACAGCCCTTCAAGGACTGTGGAAGGTGTGAGTACTGGTGGCTCTGCAGATGCTGCTGGCCAGTGAGGAGTGACTGCTGCTCTCTTCCCCCTGGAGGCCTCAAGGAAGACTTCATGCCTTGGCCCAATGGTGGGGGAGCAGGCAGCATGACAGGGGAGGGCTCCTTCTTCCAGATCTCAAGAGCTAGGGAGATATTCTTCTTTCCTTGCTGAGATCTTCTCAGAAGAATCAAATCAATATAAATCTACCCCTAATTTCCATCTTTCTAGAGTTAGAGAAAGGGTCTAAGACCGAATACATGCTACTATTTTCCCACTCAAAATGAGTTATGGGCCCGAGGCAGAGGATCAAAGTTTGGTCTGTATGCTTAGCACACTGCTGGGCACAGAGGAGAAAAGACCATCTCAGACAGCAAACCTGAGTCCGGGCTTAAGCAGCCCCTGTGGCATGTCAGGGGCAGGTATTGCTGGTCATTAGGTCCTAGACTGGCACGCAGTCTGTTGCATGTGTTGCTGGAGACTCTCAGTGTCTAGAGGTAGTGCCCTGGGCCCTTGGTGGCCATGCAGAGCTAGGCAGACCCCCTCATCCTAATTCATCCTAACTTTTCCTTCCCTCCTGGATTTATAGACCGAGAAGCAATTCGGGAGCTAGAGTGCAGCCTGAAGGAAATACGCAAGACTGCCAGTAGGACTGCCCTGTATTATGCTGGCCTGTTCCTCTGGCTCACAGGCTGCCATGACAAGGCCAAGGAGTACACTGACCACATGCTGAAAGTCTTCAGAAGCTTCCGAGAGGTACCCACCCCAGTCCTCATGAAGCAATAGCTGAAGAAAGTGTTGTCCAAACATATGGTAGCAGGGCAGTCCATGATTCCCACAAGGGGCCCAGAAACTGGGGGAAGGCCACACCCAGACACTGACAAAACTCTCAGTCTCACTGGTGCCCTACCCACATCGTCTCAGGACTTAGCAGAGGTTACACATTTGTCCACTGAGCCTCGGCTCTAGATAGGTTTCCTGTGGCCTGCACTATATTTTTTAAAAATCTTTTAAAAGTTGCTGCATTTAGAAATCAGAAGTTTTTTTGCTTTAAAGTCCAGATTTCCTGGTTCCTTTGGAAATCCAGATGAGCTGGCCACACTGGGTCAGTCTCTCCCGGTCATGCTCTGTGGGGATGCGTGGTGGCTCATACCCTGTGTCTTATATGCAGTGTATTTGTACTGGTGTGGACTGTGGAGCCTCAGTCTAGGCTACACCCTCTCAGCAGGGCTGAGATCAATTTTCAGGGTGTAAAAATTGGTTCTGGGGAAAGAAGAAAAAAAATCTTATTCTTTATGTAGAAGACACAGATATATCTACAGTATACAATACAAAGATTCAGTATATCTTGTTTATTAATATTTGTTCAAGGGAAAGAGATTGATTGGAAAAAAAATCTAAAAAGACTAGGGCCAGGTATGGTGGCTCATGCCTGTTATCCCTGTACTTTGGGAGGCCAAGGCAAGAGGATTGCTTGAACCCAGGAGTTAAAGACCATCCTGGGCAACATAGTGAGCCCTTATCTCTATAAAAAATAATAATAATAAAAAAAATTATAATAATTAAAATCGGCATGGTGACACACACCTGTAGTCCCAGGTACTCGGAAGGCTTAGGTGGAAGGATTGCCTGAGCCAGGAGTTAGAGGCTGTGTTGACTTGTGGTCATGTTACTGCACTCCAGCCTGAGTGACAGAGTGAGACCTTCACTCAAAAAAAAAGAGAGACTTTTAAAGAGATCTATAATAGAAAAAGAGGAGCCCTGGTCTAGGCCATTGAGGGATGCCTCAGGGCTGGGGTCTTCCAAGTGCCCCTCCAGTTCCACTTCCCAGGCCTGTCCCTGACTGCCTGCCAGGAAAGCTGGGTAAAGGCTACCATGGGACCAGCAAGGTCTCCAAGCTCAGAGCAGCTCTTGCTTCCCCACTCAGAGGGCATTTCCAGGCTTCCCACCCAGGTCTAGGCCCCATGCTGGCCTGAGGAGTGGAGAGATCAAGAGTGACTTTGCCCAGGGCCTTATGTTAGCTCCTGACCTCAGTGTACAGCAAATAGGCAGTGTGAGGACGAGCGAGTGTGCCTCCATAAGGGTCATGGAGAACTGTGGGCACAGGGCTAGAAGGGGGCCTCCTAGGTGGAGCTGTAAGGATGAGTGGTCAGTTGCTCAGTAGGTGAAGAGATTTGGTTCGAGTGTTGGGGAGGCGCTGGGCAGGACACTCCAGGAAAGGACACTGGGAGACCTGGCCACGAGAGGGAGCAGGCTGCCACAGATCTACTGGTGGCTGTTCCTGGTGGGGACTTGAGCTCTAGGGTGGGACACGGGTAGGCTAGATCAAGGCAGTGCAGGACCTAGGGCTTCATCTTCCATCTTGTTCTCTTTCCAGGGCTATGTGCTCAAAGGCTGGATGGACCTCACCTCAGACAAGCCCCACACTGTGAAGAAAGCCATAAAGTACCTGGAGCAAGGAATTCAGGACACCAAAGATGTGCTGGGGCTGATGGGAAAGGTGGGGCAGTGGGGAGAGGTGGGAGTTTCCCTGGCTAGGTGCCTGGAGCCAGAGACCCACCAGGTGACCCCAGGCCAGATCCTTAGTCTCCAGGTGCCTCATCTGTAGATGAGAGCTGAGGCTCAGAGAGGATCAGCAACCAGCCCAGGGTCCCACAGCCCAGGTCACTCCACTTCTCACACTCCTTCCTGCTTGACCCGAGTTTCCATTTCTTTCTGCACAGGGGTCTTCTTGGGGTCTGTTCTTCCTTCATCCTCTTAGGCTTTCTCTCCTGGCCTCTTTGTTAGTTTTGCTCACCATCCTTTTTCTCCCTTTCTGCTTTTCTTGCACTTTTCTCATTTTACCTCTTCCCACCTGTTGAGTTGTTAGCTGGCCATAGAGAAGGGAGTTATGTATTTTATTTGTTTTGTATTTTCTGATCTTAATTTAAACTAAGTTCCTTTTTTCTCATTGAACCAATCTTTGAAAGAAAAACTATCCTCTTATCCTCTTCTGTTTGTGTATAATTTTCTTATAAAATGAATACATACTCATTTAAAAAAAAAACCAGAAGTCTAAAAAAGTCAAAGGATGGGCAACCCTTTTGGGTCCCCTCCCACTGTGGGAGCTTTCCTGTCCTCTCAATAAGTCAAAAGATGAATTTCAGTGGCAACCTCAGTCCTGCTGCTCCCAAGCAACTCATGTTAACTTTTAGGCAATGTCTTCTGGTCTCTTTCCTGTGCTTGGGTCCAGGTATGCCTTAGCCAGTTTTCCAGACAGCAGAAGCAACTGAGATTATCCTAGAAGACTCCCCAGGGAACACCTTTGGGGCCAGCACCTTTGGGTAGAAGAGGTGGGCTGTGAACAGTCATAGCAAAGGCCTCAGCCAACTCCACAGGAAGTTCTGGTGCCAGGACGGCTCTTCGGCATACCCCCTTGATGACCAGACACTGGATGTGGGCTGCCCAGGGAAAGGTGTGACCTGGGACTCAGTGGTCCTCCTCAACCAAGGGCTATCATCCAGGAGGCAGACCATATTGCGTGTGGCAGCTGCCAGCCATTCTGGCCCTGAGGAGGGGTCCACCCAGCAGTCATGGGAGGAAGACGGTGTTGGACTGTAGTTAACCCTAGGACGTGTTGTCATTCAGTTTCTTTGCATAATATTTTGTCACAAGCAAATGTCAGTATGAACATCTCCATAAAGCCAATCCCCTATTGTGTGGGCATAATGTAATTTACCAGCCCAATCCCCTATTGTTTGGATGCTGGGATTATTTCCAGTTGTCCACATAGAGTGCTGTAGTGAACACGCGTAGACATAAATCTTCATTCTTTAGGATAATCCACTTGTTTTCAGTGACACATCTCTGAATAGAGGGTTACTATAGGTCTAATGTAAGCCACCCTTTCAGAGGCCAGTTATAAGTCTCTTTGAAGCATTGCCCTCGGCCCTCGGGGCACCTGTGTCATGCCTCTCCCAGGAGAACCTGGTGGCTGGCGCTGGCCTGCAGAGGCCATGACCCCAGTGCAATAGGCCTTGACAGGAAAAACCAAAAAATACCTCCACGGCCTTGCTGTGGAAGGAGTTGCCCACAAACCCTAACTGACTCAGAGTTGCTAAACTGGACCTCAGTGAGCAGTTTCGGTGATGACATTCAGGAAAGCGCACAGGAAATGAATAGGCAATTTGTGGAATTGGAAAGTGTCCAGTGACCCCAGCTCTGCCCCTCAGGGTGGGCCTCACATGGCCTTGTTCTGTCTCAGGCCTGCTGAGTTTCCCAAGCTCGGGGCTCAGTTGTCTCCCTGGAGACCCTGCCCTGCCTGTCAAAGACCCCAAGACAGTTGTGAACCTTGGTTTGTCACTCTGAGGGATGGCTGCTTCCCCCGGGGCTGAGGGGCTGCTGCCCTGAATCAGGGCCCAAGTACTCCCTGACTCTGCTGAGGACTCGCAATGCCCATGTGTCAGGCTCTCCTCCTGTCTTTTTGGAAACACCGACACCCACACCACCTCCGTGGGCACTGATGGAGGCTCTTCACTCCCAACAGGCAAAGTATCTCATGATGCAGCAGAGCTACTCCGAGGCCCTGGAGGTGGTAAACCAGATCACCGTGGCCTCAGGAAGCTTCCTGCCAGCCTTTGTTCTGAAGATGCGGTTGTTCTTGGCTCAGCAGAACTGGGAACAAACAGTAGAAATGGGATACAGGTGAGCCACTGCCCGGATGCACTGCCTCCTTTCTTTCCAAACCAAGGATGCTATTATATGCACGCTGCCTCTTATGAGACATAAAGGTGAACGTCGCCAACAGAAGAGTTAGAAATGGTGAACAAGGCTACATGGGAGGGAGAGAAGAGAGAGGATTGGTATAAGCAAACTACTCACCCACAGTAACATGAGGCCTGGAGCTGGGACCTTCGAGGAATCTAGGTGCAGGTATATTTTTTAGAAGATGTGAAGGGAACTGAAAAGAGCCCGAGGCAGCAAGAGTTACAGGGTGGAAAGCAGTTGCCTCTGAGGAGTGAAGGGAGAGATTTAGTTTTTTAAAACTGTGGGTAAGATCAGCTGTGGTGGCTCATGTCTATAATCTGCACTTTGGGAGGCCGAGGTGAGAGAATTTCCTGAGCCCATGGGTTTGAGACCAGCCCAGGCAACTTGGGGAGACCTCATCTTTACAATAAATCAAAAAAATAATTAGCCAGGCGTGGTGGCACGTGCCTATAGTTCTGGCTACTTGGAAGGCTAAGGCGAAAGGATCGCCTGAGCCCAGCAGGTTGAGGCTGCGGTGGCCGGGAGAATGCCACTGCACTCCAACCTGGGTGACAGAGTGAGCCTCCAACTCAAATAAAAGTAAATAAATAAATAAATAAAACTGTGGGTATGATATACTTTAACAAAAGCTGGCTGGGCTCAGTGACTCAGCCTGTAATCCCAGCACTTTGGGAGGCCGAGGCAAGTGGATTGCCTGAACCTGCAGGTTTGAGACCAGCCTGGGCAACTTGGCGAGACCTCATCTCTACAATAAATCAAAAAATTAGCCGGATGTGGTAGCATGCACCTATAATTCCAGCTATTTGGAAGGCTGAGGCGGAAGGATCGCCTGAGCCCAGCAGGTCAAGGCTGCAGTGACCGTGAGCGTGCCACTGCACTCAAGCCTGAGCAAATGAGACTCTGACTCAAAAAATAAAACAAAACAAAACAGCTTCAGGTGAAAAGGTCCCTGGTGAGTTGAGAGAAGGCTTTTAGTAGCTGGCTGGGTACAGAAGCCAGAAAGCAGAAAGCTCAGGAGTTACTGGGATGTGTGAAAGCCAGGCACCAAGTGTGGGGTGATCTTGAAGCATTGTGAAGAGAAATAAAGACAGCTTAATAAGAGGAGGTTTGGCTAGGCATGGTGACTCATGTCTGTAATCCTGGCACTTTGAGAGGCTGAGGCAGGAGGATCACTTGAGCCCAGGAGTTCAAGACTAGCCTGGGCAATGGAGTAAGACCCCTATCTCTGTAAAACAATAACGTAATTGAAAAAAGAGGGGTTATTTGATGGAAGACTGTTTGAGGACATTTCCTCAATCCCTGAAGCTTCTCTCTTTAAACAATAACCGTTTTCCTATTATCACAGTAATTCTAAAATACGTTATCCTCTTTTTCTTTCTAAAAAGAGTTAATGGCCCATGAGTTATTGCTTGGAATTATAACTGAATTATGTGGTCATATACAACACAGTTCTGAAGAGAACAGAACACAAGCAAATCTCTTCCTTTTCTGTGGAGGGATGCTAATTCCTCTGAGGATGACTGGAATTTCAGTCTGATAGCAAGGTGCTGGCAGCAAATCAAAAGTGACTCTACCCTACCCAGTCCGCAGGTGTCACCAGGGCAGGGACTGTGTGGGCCCTCAGCTTCCCTCTCTCAGTGTAGACCTGGTCTGTGCCTTGGCAAGAGCCTGTTTTGGAGGCCTAGCCGTGGGCCAACAGCTTACCTAGAAGTGCCTGGATGAAGGCCACACACGGGTGTGCGTGGCCTTCCTCGCCCTGGCCTTGCTGTGCCCACATGCAGAGACAGTGTTTGGCGCTGACAGGTTGAGTTCAGGACCCCAAGCGCCTTCACACGGAGGAAGCTTCCCAGTTAGTGGGGCACATAGAATTCCCTCACAGTTTTTTTTAACAACTGCTCTATCTGGGTATGTTTCTCTATTCTTCCCTGATATTATTTTTCCTCATCAATATTAAAATAGTTTCTCTGTCTTATCAGTCTTTTTAAAGAACCAGCTTCAAGTTTTGTAGATCCTTTCTATCATATCTTTATTTTCTAATTTATTAACTTCTGTTCTTTATCATTTCCTGACAGCAACTTCCTTCGGAGTTATCCTGTTATTATTTCATTTTAGAATATAGACATTTATGTCTACGGGTGTTCCTTGAGGTGTTATGTCAGCAGTAGCTACACATTTGACACATTTGGATGTATGGTATTTTCAGTATCATTTGGTTCTAAGAATGTTCTAATGTCCGTTCTGATTCTTCTTAAGTCCATATGTTATTTAAAAGTGTGTTGGGGGCCAGGCTCAGTGGCTTAGCCTGTAATCCCATCACTTTGGGAGGCCGAGGCGAATGGATCGCCTGAGCCCGCGGGTTCAAGACCAGCCGGGGCAACTTGGCAAAACCTCGTCTCTACGATAAATAAAAAATTAACCAGGTGTGGTAGCATGCGCCTATAGTTCCAGCTACTTGGAAAGACTGCCTGAGCCCAGCAAGTCAAGGCTGCGATGGCCGTGAGCATGCCACTGCATTCCAGCCTGGGCAACAGAGTGAGACTCCAACTCAAAAAAAAAAAAAAGTGTGTTGGAGTTTTTTTAAAAATGTGTAAATGTATGAGGTTCACAGTGGCCTCAGAATCATCAGAAATAGTAAGGACTCTTTCAGTGCTGATTGTGCCTAATCATGTTGGAATTTTGTGTATGTTAATTAGAGTAACCCTCTATTAAACAAAAGGTCATTCCCTCACCAGCCTAAAAAATATAATTTTTTCTATTATAAAACAGAATATTGAAAACCTCGTAGTATGATCAGAAACTGTATCTTCAAAATGACACGTGATTGAAACCAAGGTTTCCTTTCCATCTCACAATCAGAGACAGCCCCCTAAGTGCCTTCTACCCCTACCTCCTACCATGGTACCATGGTCATATCTGGTTAGTTGGGTTATGTAGGTTTCTATGACAAAGACATCCTCAAATACACGACTTAACACAAAAGGTCATTCCTCTCGTAGGTGAAAGCTTGGGTGGTGGTTCAGGACTGGGATGGTGGCTTAACTGTGGGGGGCCCCAGACCCTTCTGGCTTATTGCTCTACCTTTCCTGGGATGTTGCTGACATCATCCATATTCCAGACAGCAGGAAGGAGGAAAGGGAAGAGAGGGAAGTCTTGCTGCTAGAGCACAACTGGACAGCACGTCTTTACTCGTGCTTACAACCTGTTGGCCAGACCTTAGTCACATGGTCACACCCAGGCTGCAAGAGGTGCTGGGAGATACAGTCTGTATTCTGAGTGACTAGCTAATTTAGGAGTTCTATTATTAAAAGAAAAAGGGGAGAATATATATTAGAAGACAATCAGAATTGCTACCACACCATCCTGGCCTTGCCTATCGATAATCTTTCTCTCTCTCTCATTTATTTTTGTTGTTGTTGTTTTGAGTTGGGGTCTCACTCTGTTGCCCAGGCTGGAGTGCAGTGGCACAATCACAGCTCACTGCATGCAGCCTCAACCTCCTGGGCTCATGCAATCCTTCCACCTCAGCCTCCTGAGTAGCTGGGACTACAGGCATGCTCCATCACACCCGGCTAATTTTTTTATTTTTTGTAGAGACGAAGTCTTGATATGTTGCTTAAGCTCATCTTGAACGTCTGGGCTCAAGTGATCCTCCCACCTCAGCCTCCCAAAGGACTGGGATTACAGGCAGGAGCCACTGCACCCGGCTTGCCTATCAGCACCCTCAATTCACGTGCCTTCTTCTTTCAGAATCCTAGAAAAAGATGGAAGCAATATTGATGCCTGCCAAATTCTAACTGTGTATGAGCTTGTAAGAGAAGGAAACATGACCACAGTAAGTCCTGTTAAGACTCAAAAGTGGAGCCTTGAAAGAGAGGCAAGGAGGAATACCTCATAAACCACTCCTTCACACCCCATTCCCCGGCCCCCATCCAAAGGCCTTGACGGGTGCCCCCTAGATCTCAACTCCCCCCCGTATTTCCTGCCAAGGAGGTCTGCTCTGGTCTAGTTCTGTGGATGGTATAACTTGAGAGTGAGGCACCATTAAGCAGTGTGGGAGCCTCCTCATGTGTAAAATGAATATAATTCCACAGCGGTGAGGGTCTCATAAGGACTGAATGCCATGAGAAGTGGCAAAGTTTGGAACAGTGCCTGGCATGCTATAGTAATTCCATCAACGTTAACTGGTAATAGAAGTCATGGTAGTGTTTCAGAATTTAAGAAATGCCATCCTTTTTAGGGAATGGTTGTAATTGCTTAGGTGTTAGCCAGGTAGTACCTGACCCCAAACTTGCTCCTAAGCCTTACAGTTTTCCAAAGAAAGGCTCACTGCAGCCTCAGACCTCCTGAGCTAAAGTGATCCTCAACCACTTCCAAAGAAAACTATCATAGCCCTCAAATGCAGTCAGGAACACTTAGAATTCTTAATAAGATCTCAATGCCTAGACAGTTTCTTATTTTTAAAAAAGATTGTGTTTTAACCAAAGTATTGCCTTTTGAATAAAGAAAATACATTACCCTTGTGGAGAGTGCGGCAAATCTAGTCTCTAAGGGGTCGTGGTGGGAAGGGGAAGCTTTGGGTTCCATCTGCACAGCTCTGAGGCTGTGGGTTTTGTGGGATGGGGAGGACAGGGCAGTCTATATTTGAAAGAGGACCAGTACTGTCTCTGGGTAGGAACAAGAGAACAGGCCTCTCCTCAGCTGCCTGTGACTCCAGAGCCCTGGGCAGGGCTTCCTGGTGCCTGACCTGTGGGTTAATCCCTAGGGCAGAATTAGCATTTAATGCCCTTCCTTCACTCCTACCTCAAACCCTGGGACTCAGCTTGCCCAACCCAGCAGCCCTGTTCTAATCTTGTTTGTGCTTATTGAACAGAGTAGACACACGCCACCCAGTTTTCTCCTTTGGCATTTCTTTGCAGCTGGGAAGTAAGAATTCCCTGCTCCTGGGTAGGGAGTGGGTAGAAGAGTCGTTTGGAAAGAACCCAAGCTTTGGAATCAGTTACCTAGCTGACCGGGTGACCTCAGACCAATTGCCTAACCTTTCTGCCCTTTCTTCTGCTGTACTGGAAAGTTTGGATGGTTACACTGACTTGCAGAGTTGCTGGGAGGGCTCACTAGAATGACAAAGAGGCACCGATGCGGTGACTCATGTCAAAATGGAGCAGAGGCTTCACCTGTTCTGGGCCAGAACAGGTGGTTTGCTGCTGGCTTGGCAGGCTGTAGTGTGGACACAGTGGGGGCTGGCTCCCGCCTCTGCTTGATGGGTCTGAAAGGGCAGCTTCTCTCCAAACTCAGGGGCAGGGGGGCTCTGCCAGCTCTGAGTGAATAATGTTCCTGAAAACTCCACCTACGGGCCTTTGAAGTAATTCTGATGCCTGAGCCACCTAATTCAGTTAAATATGAATCTCTAGGTATGGACATGGGTGGGAGGGTGCTCCTGGGCAGGGGTGTTTTTGAAATCTCCCAGCTGATACTACTGTGCAGCCAGGGTTGAGGACCAGGGCCCAACTCTTACTTTGCATGTTGCATGTTGACATTATCTGTTTTGTCCCTGCAGGCTACTAATCACGTTAGAAATCTGATTAAGGCACTTGAGATGACAGAGCCCCAAAATCCAAGCCTCCATCTTAAAAAAATTCTTGTGGTTAGCAGACTGGTAAGAAGGTTCTTCCTGGTTTCTGAAATGGTGCTTCTCTCTGCTTTCCTTAGAGGAGGCCTGTGCTCCCCTAGAAGCTGGCTGAGTACCCTGCTCCTCCCCCTTCGGCTCAAACTTGACCTCTCAGGCTGGGGGCCCACACCACGTAGCCCTTACCTGCCTCTGGCCAATAACTGACATGTGAGCTCTACATCCTTGGCCCAGGTGCCCCTCAGACGTGCTGTGGAGATAAGGGAAATGAAGTGTGAAAGGACTTTCAGTGGGCAATGCCTTACTTGGGGAATGGAGCGGGTATTAAGCTGTGGTGCAGCAGAGCCACGCCCAGCTCTGGGCCAGGGTGCCCAGCTCCCATATTCTTTTTCGTAGGCCTCTCCAACATCAGGGAAGGTCCAAATAAACCAGCTCGCCAAAGAATCTGTGTCTATTTCAGACCTTTCAGCCTCAAAGCAAGATCTACAAGAAGTAATTGCCTTAAGAACAAGGTCAAGCCGGGCTCGGTGGCTCAGCCTGTAATCCCGCGCCTTTGGGAGGCTGAGGTGAGTGGATTGCCTGAGCCCGCGGGTTCGAGACCCGCCTGGGCAACAAGACCTCATCTCTACAATAAATCAAAAATCAGCCGGGCGTGGTAGCGCATGCCTGTAATTCCGGCTACTTGGAAGGCTGAGGTGGAAGGATCGCCGGAGCCCAGCAGGTCGAGGCTGCAGTGGCCGAGAGCGGCCACTGCACTCCAGTCTGGGCGACAGAGTGAGACTCCAACTCAAAAAAAAAAAGAACAAGGCCGGCTCTGGGGACTCAGGCACTAGAACTGTGGAGGTGCATGCCACCAGGACACCATTTCTCCCTCCATTTGTGCCTCTGATTCTGTCTTGCTTTCTACACATGGTAGGGAACATGACTGATGGCAGCCTTTGGGGCCACTTCTCATCACTAGACACAAAGAGCTTCTCTTAATTTTTGAAAACCTCTTGGCTCCTTGGACCAATTACTGTAGCCAGACAGGGAATAGGTCCCTCAGAGGACCCTGTGGCTGAGGCAGGTTTCACGGACATGGCCAGCAGGAGGTTCTTAGTGAGTTATATAGTTCCAAAGACCCAGCTGCCTAGACACAGTGTACCTCTCAGGCTATCCTGAGCCTACCCAACAATGTCAAAGTGTCCCCCGTTTCTGACATGGCCTACCACAGGCAGACTGGACTAACTGGTCTCCCCATTCCCGCATGCCTGTTTCTTGCAGTGTGGGAGGCATCAGGCGATTCTACAGCTGGTGTGTAGCTTCATGGAGCGCACCTTCATGGCTAAACCCTCCCATGCCCACATGGCCACAGAACTGGGCTATCTCTTCATCCTGCAGAACCAAGTGAAGGAGGCCTCGCTGTGGTACTCAGAGGCCATGAAACTGGACAAGGGTGGCATGGTTGCTTTGACAGGTCTGTGCAGGCTGGGCAGGGTTTGGGGAATGGGAGAAAAGGGGTGGGATGGGAGGATAGCTGTTGGAAGCCAAGCCCAGCAGCCTCCACACATCCAGAAGAGAGGCTGTGGGGAGTATTCCCCTGGGGGGGGTGAGTTTGGCAGTGCAGTGTATGTTTGGAGCCTTTCTGGGAATCTACGAGTATAGATATAAGAGGCACGGAATACTCGGAGTGTGATGAAAGGCACTTTGCTCTCCAGCAGACCTCCTATGTGCACACTCTGACTGCCCTGAAACACTGACAGCCTAAACAATACACTTGGCAGGCCCTGCCCCTTCTCAGGCCCAACAGGCCAGTGTTGGGAAACAGTCCTTCTCACCCCCTTCCCCAGAATCTCTCAACCCTTGCCTCTGTAGACCCACCCTCTGCAGGTCTCCGAGCTGAAAGACCACCAGAAAGAGGAGTTTTGAGAGTTTTACTTCCCACCTATCCAGATGTTTTTTTAAAATCCTTTGTATAAATGTCAAATGAGTTTTCTTTTTTTTTTTTTTTTAATTTTTTTTGAGTTGGAGTCTCACTCTGTCACCCAGACTGGAGTGCAGTGGCCGCTCCCGGCCACCGCAGCCTTGACCTGCTGGGCTCCGGCGATCCTTCCGCCTCAGCCTTCTGAGTAGCTGGAATCTACAGGCATGCGCTACCACGCCTGGCTGATTTTTTGATTTATTGTAGAGATGAGGTCTCGCTGCCCAGGCAGGTCTTGAACCTGCGAGCTCAGGCAATTCACTCACCTCAGCCTCCCAAAGGTGCGGGATTACAGGCTGAGCCACCGAGCCCAGCTTCAAATGAGTTTTCTAGAGCTCCCTTTTCATTTTACACTTTTTTTTTAAGCCTGTACCTCAGGCCAGGCGCAGTGGCTCACTCCTGTAATTCTAGCAGTTTGGGAGGCTGAGGTGAAAGGATTGCCTGAGCTCAGGGGTTCGAGACCAGCCTGGACAACTTGGTAAGACCTCATCTCTACATAAATAAAAAAATTAGCCAGGCATGGTAGTATGCGCCTGTAGTTCCAGCTACTTGGAAGGCTGAGGCAGAAGAATCACCTGAGCCCAGCAGGTCAAGGCTGCAGTGGCCGTGAGTGTGCCACTGCACTCCAACCTGGGCAACAGAGTGAGACTCCAACTTAAAAAAAAAAATGCTCCCACCTCCATGGTATGTGGTGAATTCTGAACTGGCACTGTTTAGTTTGAGATGAGGAAGTTGTTTGGTCCAGTGCTCAAGGCAGTCCATCCTCTTTTTTTTTTTTTTTTTTTGAAGTCAGAGTCTCACTCTGTTGCATGCTCACGGCCACCACAACTTTGACCTGCTGGGCTCACGTGATCCTTTCTCCGCAGCCTTCCAAGAAGGTGGAACTACAGGCATGTGCTACCACACCCGGTAATTTTTTGATTTATTGTAGAGTTGAGGTCTCCTCAAGTTGCCCAGGCTATCTCGAACCTCTGGGCTCAGGGAATCTTCTCACCTCAGCTTCCCAAAGTGCTGAGATTATAGGTGTGAGCTATTGTGCCCGGCTGGCAGGCCGTCTCTTGCCCTGACTCTCAGGAGCTGTGTGTCTGGAGGCATCAGTTCTTCCTAAACTCCAGTCTCCCCATCTGTATAGCACAGTTGTCAGCATAATTGATCTTGACTTCTGATTCAGTGTGTCAGGTTGATCCCTTCAGATCTATACTTCTTCTCCATCCACCAATCCTGTGAAAATAATGAAAGACAGTTTTAAAAGGTAATGCGTCAGGCCAAGCACAATGGCTCAATCCTGTAATCCCAGCACTTTGGGAGGCCGAGGTGAGAGGATTGCCTGAGCCCAGGAGTTCAAGACCAGCAGGACAACTTGGTGAGACCTTGTCTCTACAATAAATAAAAAAAAATAGCAGGGCATGGTAGTGCACGCCTGTGATTCCAGCTACTTGGAAGGCTGAGGTGGAAGGATCGCCTGAACTCAGCAGGTCGAGGCTATGGTAGCCGTGAGCGTGCAACTTCACTCCAGTCTGGGTGACAGAATGAGACTCAAACTCAAAAAAAAAAAGAAAAGAAAAGAATTTAAACATAAAAAATGAAATAGGACTTGGGGTTTTCTGGGGGTTCTAAGCCTAATTCCAAACTCAGAAGCTGCAAAGGAAAATATTTTACCTATTGACTACATAAAAATTTAAAATTATTAAATGGCAAAAGTTATTGTAAAAATAGTAAAAAAAAAAAACAAAAAACATAATTGGCAAACTAATTGAAAACATCTGCAACAAAGGGTTAATAATCTTAATATATAGAGAGGAAAAAAAAATCCTTCCCCAAAAAATCAGGCCGGCTGTGAACAGAAAATTCACAGTAGAAAAAACTATTGAAAATATGAAAAGATGTTCATTCTCCCCAGCGATTACAAAAATGTGAATTAAAACTAGTTGCTTTTCACTTTCCAGACTACAAAGATTAAAGTGTGTCTGTGAGGTTGTAGAAAAAGGACAGTTTTAAATTATTGGCGGTAATATAAATTCAGATACCTTTGAAGGGCAAGTTGACCTTATCTATGTTATTTTATTTTAGTTTTTTAGAGACAGGGTCTCACTCTGTCACTCCAGGTTGGGGAACAGTGGCCCTGTCATAGCTCACTGCAGCCTCAAACTCCTGGAATCAAGGGATCCTCCCACTTCAGCCTCCTGAATAGCTGAGATTACAGGGACACACCACCGTGTCTGTATATTGTTTTTTGTTTTGTTTTTTTAGAGACAGGAGTCTCACTTTGCTGCCCAGGCTGGTTTTGAACTCTTGATGTGAAGTGATCTTCCTGCCTCAGCCTTCCAATGGGCTGGTATTACAGTTTGTAAAGATGTTGGAGAAGATCCCCTGCCCTGTGACACCTTCCTTCCACTTCTCAACCTCTCATCCATGCTTCTTGACCTGATGGGCCACAGGTCCTGCTTTGGAACTGGCTACTCATCTTTGCTCTGTCCCACCTACAGGAATCATCTGGTGCCAGATCTTAGAAGGCCACCTGGAGGAGGCTGAGCAACAGCTGGAATTCCTGAAGGAGGTGCAACAGTCCCTTGGGAGGTCTGAGGTCAGAGCTCTTTGGGGATACAGGTTGCTCCAGGGTCGTGTTTCCTGCCCTTCTCCCACCCCAATAGAAAGCAGCTAAGATGGCCCAGACCTTCACCTTGCCCTTGCCTGCGCAGACTGGCACCGGCTATGAGGCTCACGCCTCTCTTCCGCAGGTGCTGGTTTTTCTCCAAGCTCTTCTGGCATCCAGGAAGAACAAAGGAGAGCAAGAGGTCACGGCGTTGCTGCAGAAAGCAGTGGAGCTTCACTTCTCTGGCATGCAGGGCCTCCCCCTGGGCTTGGAGTACTTTGAAAAGCTGGACCCCTACTTCCTGGTCTACATTGTCCTGGAGTTCTTGCTCTTCTGCCCCAAGCAGGTTAGGGAAAGGCCCATCTCCATGGCGGGGTTCTGGAGTACAGAACCAACAGACAGTGGCAGGGGCCTTACTTGGTCAGTCTGAGCCGTGGGCAGTCGGAGAGCCCAGCACTTTTCAAACTTGGACATGTGGCCCACGGATTGCCTGGGAGGGTGTTCCAGTGCAGATTCTGCTCCATAGATGGGGCCCAAAGCCTTGCATTTCTGACAGGCTCCCAGGTGATGCTGAGGTTGCTGGTCCAGAAAGCATACTTGGAGGAGCAGGGTACTGGCCCATGCCCTGCCTTTATCTTAGACAAGAACTTGGCTCTCTTTCCCCAGAAGTCTCCTAAGAAGTATGTTAGTCTTTACTTGTTTGTTCTGCTTTTCCAGCCAGCCAAGATTCCTTGTGGGTGAGGATAATATTTTTACACATCTTAATATCACCCCAGTGCCTTGTAATGAGTCACTCAACAAATATTTATGGAGTGCATGACTACATGCCAGACACACTTCTAGGTACTGGGGCCACAACAGTGAACAAAACAAAGTCCCCATTCTCCAGAGTTCATGCTCTAGCCCTAGATGGTACAGAGTGAACGATAAATAAGTGTGAAATAAAGTCAGATTCCCTCACTGAGAGTGTTTTCTGAGAACTCTGGGCATCTTTCTTAGAATCGATCAAATAATCCACAGCCAGCTCCCTGTGTTCTTACAGCCCCGGTTACCAGGCCAGATCCTGTCTCCACTTCTTAAACAAGTCGCCATGATCTTGCATCTTGTAGTCAAAGTAGCACCAGCTCTGACGGACCCTCTGTATGTGATGGCTCAGGTCAAGTATCTCTCAGGTGAGCCAGTGGGTCCTGGCAGCCAGGTGGGACCTTGCATCTTCTCACAACTCTTCATCCGTTCAGACACCCGAGGGGGCTTCTGCCACCAGGCTTGTGTCCTCAGGCTTCCTGCCTAGGATACTTCACACATATACATGCATACACACACACACACACACACACACACACACACATATACACAGATACATATGCACACATTCACACTCACCGAGCCTGCCACTCCTTCCAGCCTCCAATCCCCCACTAGTCCTCCTGACCTTTGTCACCAGCAGGGGTCTCTCCCACCCAGATCTTTGCTGATCACTTGCTTGGTCTGTGCAGGTACTGAATTTCTGGGGTATAGTAGTACTCAAAACAGGCAAAGATTCTTTTTGGAGCTTGCATTTTAGTAAGGGGAAACGGACAAACTAAGCCTTGTATTGTTTGTTAGAACTCCATAATGCTACAGAGGAAACTAAATCAGGGACGACGTGGTAGTGATATGGTTGCATTTTTTTTTGAGTCATTCTCACTCTGTCGCCGAGTGGCACTCTCACAGCCACTGCAGCCTTGACCTGCTAGGCAATCCTTCTGCCTCAGCCTTCCAAGTAGCTGGAACTACAGGTGCGCGCCACTATGCCTTTCTAATTTTTTAATTTATTGTAGAGATGAGGTCTCACCAAGTTGCCCGGGATGGTCTCAATCCCATGGGCTCAGGCAATCCTCTCTCGCCTCGGCCTCCCAAAGTACTGGGATTATGGGCATGAGCCACTGCACACGGCCTGGTTGCAGTTCTTTTTTTTTTTTTGAGTTGGAGTCTCACTCTGTCGCCCAGGCTGGAGTGCAGTGGCCGCTCCCGGCCACCGCAGCCTCGACCTGCTGGGCTCCAGCTATCCTTCCGCCTAAGCCTTCCGAGTAGCCGGAATTACAGGCATGCGCTACCACGCCCGGCTGAGTTTTTGATTTATTGTAGAGATGTGGTCTCGCTGCCCAGGCGGGTCTCGAACTTACGGGCTCAGGCAATCCACTCACCTCAGCCTCCCAAAGGCGCGGGATTACAGGCTGAGCCACCGAGCCCGGCTTGGTTGCAGTTCTTAGAAGGTATCAGGAAAAGTCTCATGGAGAGGGGAGACCCTGTACCATTAGGCTTTCGGAGCTACCAGGGTTCCTTCCACCTCTTCCCATCTAAAGGCCCAGACTCTGGAGAGAGACGGAAAGAGAGGGAGAGCCCTTCGTGGGTACCCTGTTGTCCTTCTGAAGGACTGTCTCTTGGCAGCCTTTCACCCTATTCTGTCTACCTGAAACCAGGCCAGTCTCTGGTGTCCTGGGGCATCCAAAGGATTCAGAATACTGTGGCCATTTATCTGTATTCCATTTATCTGTCCTTTGTTTATCTGTCCTCTACATGATGTGGGTTGCACTCTGCTGAAAGCTGTCCCATCTTCATGCTTGGTCCTCTCTGTGTTCATCTGGGTGCCAAGTTTACCTACAGCTTCAAGGACTCCCAAGTACAAGGCCAGGGTGGGAGGACTCCCCTGGGGCGCTGGCAGCTGCCAACAGGTTTGGGGCCAAAGCAAGGTCTCCAGCTGCTTAGGTTGCCATAGTGACCACTTCACATTTCCACAGCACACAGGGAAGGAGCAGGGAGCTTGGGACCCAGAAGCAGATACTCCCTGCCCACCAGGGTATGAACTTCAAGCGGGAGCTGCTGATGCACCTGGCTGCAGAGGGAGGACACCCTCCCACCTCACCCCTCCCCGCACCTGGGCTGCCACGACTGCCCTGTAAGCGCAAGTCCGGCTGTGGGGAGGCCCTCAGCCTCTAGTGCCAGGACATTCAGAGCTGAGGCTCAGGGGCCTGACAGGCCTGGATTTAAATGCCGACCATGTTCCTTCCAAGCTAAGTGGCTTACATCACTGGAGCCCGAGGTCCCTCATCTAAAGGACAAGAATAATAATACCAACCTTGCAGGACAGGACAGATATTAAATCAGACTTTCTAAAGTGCTCTGCAAGTGTTGAACATAGAGCCGGTGTGGCATAAATTGTGGCTATTGCAGTTGCTGTTATTATTAGGTGTTGTTCTGCTCTTAGGTGTGGGAATTGAGACTTGCATGTTCCCCTGAGCTTCCAGATGCAGCAGTGAAGTGACTTGGCTGTTTCCTTGAGGGCTGCAGAGACAAGGAGGGTGTTCCACTGAGCTTTGAGTTTCCTGGATTTTGTCTGGGTCAAGGCACAAACCGTGTCATTTTAATTTGAGAAAGGAACTCTGAGTGAAGCAGAGCAGAACTGGGTAAAATACCCAGCTTGGAGAGTTCTGAACAACAGGACATGCAAAATTTATCCTGCCTATACATATTGGGTCTCAGGAGTCCCCCAGGAGTCCAGAATGTAGAGGTTTGTGTATTATTTCTAGGAGAGCTAGAGAAAGCCCAGAGTGCCCTGCTGCGTTGCCTGGAGCTGGACCCCACCTCCGTGGACGCCCACCTCCTCATGTCCCAGATCTACTTGGTTCAGGGCAACATTGCCATGTGCTTTCACTGCTTAGAGGTGGGAGTGAGCCACAACTTCCAGGTGGGTGCCCTGTCACCTGCTCAGCATCTCAAAGCCTAGCTAACCGCAGCCCCCATTAGCCTTGGGAGAGTAGCCCCAGGGGCTATCTGTGTCCCACAGACCTTTCTGCTAGTCCAAAGGCAGGGTGGGTCCAAAGGGCTCCCGTGGCTTTCTCCAGCCTGAAAGCTGAGAGCAGCAGCTACAGCAGTGGTGAACTGGAGCCCAGCACACTGCTGTGCTCCTCCTAGGTCCGAGATCTCCCCCTCTACCACTTCATCAAGGCCAGGGCCCTCAACAAGGCGGGGAACTACCCAGAGGCCATAAAGACGCTGAAAATGGTCATAAAATCGCCAACTCTAAAGAAGGAAGAAAGCAAGAAGTTCCACGGGCCCTCTGTGCGGCCCACTGAGCGGGCATCCATCTTACTGGAACTGGTAGACGCTCTCCGGTTGAATGGGGAGCTGGTAAGAACTGCCCTGCTCCCTTTCCTGGGGACTGGGGCATGTTGGAGGTCCAGGGTGGATATCAGGAGACAGACTCTTTAATTCTGCCTAATGTTTATGTGTGCACCAAGTGGAGGGTCTGCTTGATTCCCATGTTTTAGCACGAGGCCACCAAGGTCATGCAGGATGCCATCAATGAGTTCAGCGGCACACCAGAGGAAATTCGAGTCACCATCGCCAACGTGGACTTGGCCCTGAGCAAGGGCAATGTGGACATGGCGCTGACCATGCTGCGGAGCATCACGCCCAAGCAGCCCTGCTACACAGAGGCCATGGAGAAGATGGCCAGCATCTACCTGCAGACCCGTAAAGACATCCGCCTCTACATCGGATGCTACCAGTAAGCCCCCCAGGCAGCGAGGTGATGGTTTCTCTGACAGGATCTCAGGGAGTGTTTCCTTCAAATTATAGTTCTTCAACCTGGGTCTCTAGAATGTGTCCTAAGAATATATTTGATGAGCCGGTTGAGGTGGCTCATGCCTATAACCCCAGCACTTTGGGAGGCCAAGAGGATTGCCTGAACATGGGTTCGAGACCAGCCTGGGCAATTTGGCAGGACCTCGTCTCTACAATAAATAAAAAAATTAGCTGGTCATGATGGTACATGCCTGTGGTTCCAGCTACTTGGAAGGCTGAGGCAGAAGGACCACCTGAGCCCACCAGGCTGAGGCTGCAGTGGCCATGAGTGTGCTATTGCACTCCAGCCTGGATGACGGAGTAAGACTCCAACTAGGACGTATGGAATTTCTTGATGGACGTATGGAATTTTCCATGGGTTGGCTCTTGAACATGATAGGCCAGAAAGCCCTGCTTGTGGATGGGTTCTGAGGACACAGAATTGAACTGGCCCTGAGCCCTACTTGCTACCCCACCCTGTCTTGGTGCACCCCTTCTGCGGCATACATTCTGGTGGGAGGCTGTGGGCCTGCCTCCCAGGGCAGACCCTCTGAAGCCCCAAGCCACTGTCTCTGTAAGGTTTGGCGCTGGAACCTCAAGGATGCCTTCTTGGCCCTTTTCTTCATGCAAAACTCCATCTAGGCAATTTCAGGTGGGATTTGGGGTGTTGGGAGCATGGGAAGCTATCCAGCAGTAGGAAACCAATGAAGAGTAGTGAGGTACTGTCGGCTTGGAGTTTCAGAAAGAGCGGTGAGGCTGCCTTGTGGAGGGGGTCTGGAGAGGTGGGGGCAGAGTGAGATAAATGGGCAGAGGTCCTGGCCATGGCCAGATGACAGATGAGGAGAACCTGACCAAAGTAGCTATCTCAGTGTCCTGTGTACAGTGGGCTGTCTATAAGTATTGGTTGATGAAGGAAGTCAGCCAGAATCAGTGGGAAATAATGACTTCAGGAATATGGGGGTGCACGGACCTCAGATAAGCTTTTGGTTACTCTTTCAGTGAACTCTGTGAAAATCTGCCTGGCCCCCACACCAGCCTGCTACTGGGTGATGCTTTCATGGAAATTCAGGAGGTGAGTGAGGGGACCTCACAGCCTTGCCAAATGGCCCCCCAGTCTCACTTCTTAGTGGGAAAGATGGAAAAGAACCCCTGGACACTTTCCCCACCAGCCCGAGAAGGCCCTGGAGGTCTATGACAAAGTCTGTAGAAAGAACCCGCATGATGCCTCCCTGGCCAGCAGGATGGGACAAGCTTATGTGAAGACCCACCAGTACACCAAGGTCAGGCTGGGCTGGGGTGTGAAGGAGTGGGGAGAACCAGCCCAGCAGGGAAGGCGGAGGAGGGTGCATAAGTAGGAGGCTTTGCAAGTGTATCCTCCCCCAACCCTCCCTGAAAGATGGGAGGAGAGTGGCTGAGTTTCCACTCCAGCACCCCGCTGACTGAACTGCCGAAGGGAGAGCTCAGCATCTCTCCACCACCCCAACACCTCTCAAGCTAAGGTGTTTGCCCCACACCTGTCGGGAAAGCCTTTTTACCTCAGGCTTCTATGTTCTGAAGGGGTGCACTGGAAAACATGGTGTCAGGCACTCAAGTGCCAAACCAGACCAGAGGCTAATATTTCTTGTTTGCACTAAGGCAATTAATTATTATGAGGCCGCCCAGAAGATTAGAGGACAGGACTTTCTGTGCTGTGAGCTGGCCGAACTACTCCTGAAGTTAAAGAAGTTCAACAAAGCAGAAAAAGTGTTGAAGCAGGCACTGGAGCATGACTTTGGTGAGGCAGCATTCTAACACATCTCGCGTTTGGAACAGGCTTACTTCTCCCACCCCATTAGCTGGAATCCTGAACCCAGCCCTCCCCATCAACCCAGCTTCTCAGGGGCCAGCAAACACTAATTTGAGTTTCCATTTAGCAGGGAATGAAATCCCACCCATGATAAATGATGTTAAGTGCTTACTTTTGCTGGCAAAGGTTTACAAGCACCATAAAAAAGAAGAAGTGATGGAAACTTTGAACAAGGTAATGACGAGTAGATTCAAGTTATCTGCCAAGTGCTGATGGTGACTGAAGGAGCAGGGATAGAGCTCCAAGTATACAAGAGGCCCTAGGTTACACCTCTGACATCCACCTTCCACTTATTCCCCCATCCTTGTTCAGTCAGTTACTAAAGCGCTCTGAGCTGGATGGGCTAGGGAAGGCAGGAAGTAAGACAGCACCTTTGTCCTCAAGGATGATGATGATCCTAATGGTAGCAATGACAATGGCTCCCACCCATTGAAAGTTCTGTGTTAAGTTCTGTCCTAGGCTTTTTGCTTTCTTATTTAATTATCATCCTTTGAGATAAGCACTTCACAGGTAAGGCTCTAGGAGGTGAAGAAATGTACCTAAAGTCAAGTACAGTTGTATTAGTCCATTTTATGTTGGATTATAACAGAATACCTGAAACTGAGTAATTCATAAAGAAAAGGAATTTCTTTCTTACAGTTACGGAGGCTGAGAAGTCCAAGGGTGAGGGGTCACATCTGGAGAGAGCCTTCTTGCTGGTGCTACATCTGGCAAGGGGACAGACATGCCAACATGCTTGCCACCAGTTCTACTACCATGACCATCCGTTAATTCATTAACCTATTAATCCATTAATCCATATATGGAGTAATCCATTCATGAGGGCAGAACCTTCATAACCCAGTCATCTCTTAAAGGCCCCACCTCTCAATATTGCCATGCTGAGGATTAAATTTCCAACATATGAATTTGAGGGATACTTACAGACCATAGCAACCAGTAGTCATGCATTGTCTAACAACAGATATATGATTTCATGGTTGTCAGACATCATAGAGTACACTTACACAAACCTAGACAGTACAGTCTACCACATTCCTAGGCTATATGGTGTGACCTATTGCTCCTAAGCTACAAACATGTACAGCATGTTACTGTACTGAATACTGTAGGCAATTGTAACACAAGTAAGTGTGTATCTAAATGTATCTAAACATTAAAAAGACACAGGAAAAATAGGCTATTATAATCTTATGGGACCACCATCATATGGAGTTCATCATTAACCAAAATGTCATTATGTGACATATGATTATACTTGCAAGAGGTGGAGCTGAGATCTGAGCCAGGTCTGGGCTGTCCCAACCCACACTCCTTCCACAGTGGGGTGCTCCTGATCTGAGAGCCCCTGGCCATCACATCTTCCTCACTTTTTCCACCCAGGGGTGTGGACTCACACTTGCTCCTGGAGTGCACTCTGTTGTCATACAGGGAGAGCCCACTCTCTGACTGCTTGAGATGATTTATTCCCTGGCTTACCACCAGATTTCCAGTCCCCTGCTTGGCCCTCAGGGACCCAAGTGCTGATGCGTTCCTGCTTCCTACAGCTTAACCCTGGCTTCATCATCTCCTCTTGCCCTGGAACTCCCTGGCTACTCTCCTGATCATTTTGTGTCATGAATTTTTGTGGATGCTTCCAAAAACTCCATATTCAGAACAGAACACAGCCTGTGGGGCACCTACTGTGTGCTTGTTCTAGCCCATGGGGCAGCCCAGCAAATTAGACACAGTACCCCAAGGTGTGAGGGAGGCAGGTAAACAGGTGAGTACAAAGAGTGTTTTGTGTAAGTCCCTTTGCTTCTGCTCCTGCTCCCAGAGGCAGTGCCAGTTTGCCTCATGTGTGCTCAGCCAGTGGCCTTGCCGATCCACAGTGACCCAGATTTGCTCAAGAGTAGTTAAGGTGCCCTTTCGAACACTACTGGCTCTGAATTCAGAGCTTGGGACTTTCCGTGAACTGGCACCATCAGGCTGTGGGTTTCTGATCCTGGCTTTATTGGTTTCCCAAGGCCTTGGACCTTCAGTCTTGGATACTGAAGCGGGTGCCACTGGAGCAACCAGAAATGATCTCCTCCCAGAAGCAACTGGCATGCTCCATCTGCATACAGTTTGGGGACCACTACCTGGCAGAGAAAGAGTATGACAAGGCTGCGTGCTCTTATAAAGAGGCCCTCTCCCACTGGCCCATCGACAATAAGGTGGGTGGCCCTCAAAGCAAGAGGGCCTCCTCTCGTGGGGAGCAACGTCTTGCTGAGCTCCCTGACCAGGTGCAGGGACCAGTTCATTCTCCATTCCTCCCTCAGTAGCTGCAGGTGTGACAGGCATGAGAGGCCAGCTAGCGGCAGCCCCAGCTGTGAGGTGCCTGTTCCAGCTGACCCTAGGCCCTCACCTGCCACAGCCCTTGGAGCGAGGCTGGGAGGTCTCACTTTGTACAACCATTTGTGGAGGATGCAGTAGGGAAGACACTGCCGAAAGTTATGTTAGTCTGACATTTTCAGATTCCCCTGGAGGTGGGGCTCTGATGCAGGCTGTGGCTGCCAGGCTCTTTGGGCTTGAAGCCCAGGCTGAGCTCTCAAGGGGGCCTAGAGTTGTGAGGAAGGTGTGGCTCCAGATGAAAAAACAGTGACTGGAGTTCATGCAAAGAGTTGGGTGACAGAGCCACTCGCTCATTTAATACTCATTTAACAGACACCTAATATGTGCCATGTACTGTGCTAGGCCCTGGAGGCACAGTGGGTCAAGGCATGGCCCCTGCCCACAGATTACTCTTGGGGAAGGGGTACAGACAAGAGCATAGGTAGTTCTAATGCCATGCCCACAGGGGTTGCAGGGCACCAGGGGAATGCAAAGGAAGGTGGGATACCTTCCAGAGCACAGAGGGATCCCAGAAGAGTGAGGCCGGAGCCAAAGCTGAAGGATAAGTATGTGTTAGCCAGGCCCAACTTTCAGAGGTTAATTAGTGAGACACAGGGTATGACTGGAGAACTGGGTGGGAGAAGGGGAGGGCCAGAGGCATTAACCCAGGGAATTTGAGATACATTTTGAAGACAGAGCTGATAGAAGTGGGATATGAGGGAAAGAGTTGTCCAGGATCCCAGGGTTCTCCACCGACTTTATTAGTTGGTTTGTTATATCTGGCCTTGTCCCAGGTGGTGCTGAAACTGGCACGGCTCTACCTGCTCCAGGGACATCTGGATCTGTGTGAGGAGCAGTGTGCCATCCTCCTGCAGACTGAGCAGAACCTTGAGACTGTGTCCATGGTAAGAGGCCCTGGGACCCCCTCCCCAGAGTCCCCGGGACCAGATGCAGTTGCTTCCTAGCCCCACGACCTCAGATGCCTCGCTGACACACCTCTGAGGGGCTGTCAGACAGAGAAGACTCAGTGCCACACCTGCTCTGCCCTCCAGCTGGAAGGGGTGGGCTGGCTGGTGGGGGGCAGCATCAACCTCTTGGGCCAGTCTAAAGTGGGGTGGGGGGGTGATTGATCCTCATCCACTGTAGGTGAGGGTGAGGGTGGGACAGGTTCCTGGGGCTTCAGGAAGTGTGTAGGAAAGCCCTCCCAGTCCAGCCTCTCTCCTTCCTATAGCCCAGGCTTCCTTCAGGGTTGCTGCAGGAGCAGAGGCCTAGCCCCTGCAGAGCAAGCAGGGAGTCCCCCATCCCTACCTCTATTGTCTGGGGTTGGCAGTTCTCAGATATGGGTGGAGGAGCCGGCTCTGTAGGCCATCAAAGGACTCCTCTGGTCTCACTTCTGGGTGGCGGCCTGAGGGATCTTCAGGCTCCTCCCATGTCAGCTTCTCCCAGGACCTAGGGAGACTGCCTTGGAAGTCCTTTTCCACCTTCCCTCCTTACCACCATCATTCCTTGCCACCCCACCCCTACCCCGCCCCATTCCCATGCAAGCTGCTGTCAGGAATTCCGGAGCCTTATGTGTTTTCTGATAGATGATGGCTGATCTGATGTTTAGAAAACAGAACTGTGACGGAGCCATTAAACTCTGCCACCAAGTCCTGGAGAAAGCGCCAGGTAATTCAGCCCATTGAGGCTGCCTACATCAGTTCCCACTGAGCAGGGGCTGGTCTCCCAGAGAAGGGCGGGCCCTCTCCCCTCCTTCCTGACTGGGCAGAGGAAGCCCCTTCCTCTCTGATTGTTCCAGAGAGGCAGGAAATTGATAAAGACCCAGTGGAACGTGCCGGCCCTTCCCGAGTCCAAGGGGCCAGTTCCTGGTCTCAGACACTTGGCACTCGACCCAGGATAGCCTGTCTGTCCCCAATCACAGTCACTGGGGCTCAACATAGTCCCCTTCTGAGATCCCAGCCACCTGGAGGGGACTAGAAATTATCCCCGCATGTGTAACTCCATTCCTATTCACTGCAGCACAAAACCGCCCCTTCTTGCCTGGGAAGGGGCCAGACCTTGAGACTCAGGCTGGAGCCCTGGCAGGGCCCACGGCAGAGTCTGCCCACTGGCCCAGCAGGTCACAGTGGTTCAAAGTGTGGGTCCTGGGTTTCCATCCTGGTCTACCACTTATTAACTATACTCTTTGGCAAATTACATAACTTCCCTGTATCTCAGTGATCTCATCTGTAAAATGGAGAATTAGAGTACCTACCTTACGCTGTAGTTAATATATGGATAAGGCACTTAGAGCCAGGTACGAGTTACATACTATATTAGTGTTAGCTGCTACTATTACCATTTTTAAGCATTATTATTATTCACTCAACGCTAGAGACCCTGGAGCTGTTGACATGTCCCTGCTCAGCCCAGATGGGCAGGGCCTCCTCCTTCCTGACTGGCTCCTCCTGGGACTCGAGCACCCCTGCTTCTCTCCTTGCCAGACCACAGCACCCCCCACCCCCTCCCGCCCCCTTCACCCCTCCCCCATCCCCACCTGATAGAGTTTTTGGTTATCACAGCCCAGAGATTTTTGCTGTCTTATTTTAGACAACTTTTTGGTATTGAATAAATTAATCGATCTGCTCCGAAGAAGTGGGAGACTTGAAGACGCTCCTGCCCTCTTTAAATCGGCTGAGAAGGTGTCCCGCTGGGTGCCCTTGGAGCCAGGATTCAACTACTGCAGAGGCATCTACTGCTGGTGAGTTGGGTGTGGTGTGTTGAGGGCAGCAGGCCCTCCCTCTCAGCAGGCTAGGCTCTTGTTCAGCGTGAAGGGGTACAGAAATTCAGCCTCCAGGACAGGGAGCAGGGAGGCCCAGCGCCTGCTTTGTGCAGACTTACAGAGTGGCCTCTGTGCATCCCTGCACTCTGGCTCCCTGACTAGTTCTTGGTGTTTTCTCCACCATAGGCACACCTGGCAGCCCAATGAAGCCTTGAGGTTCCTAAACAAAGCGCGCATGGACAAAACTTGGGGCCAGAGCGCCACCTACCATATGGTGCAGATCTGTCTGAACCCAGACAAGGAGACTGTGGGCGGAGAGGTTTTTGAGAACCTGGTGGCTGAGAGCAAGTGCGGGCCCGCGGGGGACAGGGGCGGAACCCGGGGGGATGTCAGGGAGAGCCTGAGGCCTCCAGGTGGAGACCAGGAGAGGGCCTCGAGGGCAGACTACCAAGCCTGCATCTGAGGCCCGCAGCCCCCCCCCCCCCC